CTATGTGTAGAGACCCTAGTTTTTTTCTCTACAAGAATTATAGGATTTATATTTTGTTTAGGCTACAGTAAGATAGTAGTTAGAACGGCCTACAGGGGTCTAAGCCAGGTCAACTAATCTATTAAGGGAACGTAAAGCAAAAACTTGTTGAGTAACCTCAAAAATCATATTTTTGGCTTAAAGGCATTATTAAAAATTTAACCCACTGATCAAAAGAAGATTTTCTAGAAAAGTAACATCTTTGCAAAGATTTAAATTACAATTCCATTAAAAAATCTAATTTTACCTAAGTTAAAAATGTTCAAGGGCAGTCCACAATATATCGAACAAAGTAGGCCTATCAGGAACCATCCCATTAGCTAAAAATGTTAAAATACTCCACTCCAGTTATCGAAACTGAAAACGAACTCACTCTGAAAACTAATGCTCTTGTGTGTATCATATGTTTACTATGAACTGCTGTTTTAGAATGCAATTAATACAAATTATTTGCATGTTTAAGTTTAAACAAAATCTTTTCTTCGTAAGAAATTCATTGATGGCCTGTGGGGCAAAGCCCGAGGGCTTTTATTACAGGAATTGGCAATTGGTGAAAGGGGGCGTCTACACAACAAATACTTACACCTTGTTTGTAAAAATCCGTCCATTAACGGAGGGGTAGTGTTTTGTAGAAATCGCCTTCACGTACAGTAGAGTCCCACGTATAGTAGAGTGCCTATATACAGTATAAGGATTTAGAGGTTATATTTATCAGGAGAATAAGAAACCATTTAAATTACAAAGAGTTAATTTTCCTATTATGTGAGGTTTATTTTGTAATTTTATATGATACCTTGATCAAGTGGCTGCAATTTGACATCGTGTTTGGCAAACAAATTTCACTTTTGAAAAATTAGGAGCGTTCAGTGTCAACGGAAACCAAACATTCTTCTATTCAAGGATATTCACCCGTTGTGGGTTTTTTCTTTCCCACACCAGCATTGACTAAACAATTTTGTTCCATTTTTAATCATATAGACAACATACTCAAAGGGATTTGAAATGTTTTCGCTGCTTCTAACTTACTGTACCACTTTCTACTCCTGTCATCACTTTTTTGCAATCAAAAGGGACTTGTATTTATGCTAAGGCAGTCGTGGTTCCTCACAACGAACACAGCGAACTAAAGAACTTACTTGTGCAAGCAAACACTTCCAACCAGACAATTACTGCTCTAACCTAACATCAAAGCTTTACTGTATTAAGCTATGTGGGATGTATAGTTTCCTGTTATAACAGGAATAAATCTATAAATTCACCTCTGTCCCTTTGAACTATAGAGAGTTCTGCCAAAAAAACTTCAAATTACTGTGTGTCCCAAATCAAATTTAAAATATCAAGAGATTCTCTAAAGACTAACCTTTTATTTTATGTCAATAAATCAATCCTGGAGGCAAATTATGTATACTTATATTTTAATTGACAAAAGTTTTGATTTATCAAATGTTTGAATTACCAAGTATACTGTAAGTCAATGTAAGTAGCATCAGGTAGCTCATAGACACTATAGCTGAGAGCACCTACCTACGGTTGACCAGACTTGGACCCAGATGGGTAGTCCAATTGCCAACTTATCGTATACAGAATATAATTAAATAACTTCTTGATTATTTTACCTTGTATGATCAACACGTTGTATACTTTTTTGGCACTATTAGGCTATACAAATATGGTAAAATACATTTTAAAACTCTTTTTGTAAATCTAAACTTAAGTGGAGATATTTACAAGACGATATGATAGTCATTGCATTGGTAGAGCATTAAATCTTTAGTGACATAACCCTAAACACACTGTTCACAGACAAATTAAGCTTGAAATCCTGATAAAATGTGTTACAATACTTACAATGGCAGTTGATCATCAGGAATAGTCAGAGACGGAAAGAATCTAAATTGCAACTTAACTTGCTTAAGTGAGGTGTTAGTTGGTTGCCTGAAGTTGGAAAAAGCTCCATTAGTTGAGGAAAAATCAAAATTGACTTAAATTATTCAAGCAATTTTCATTGTATTCAAGCAAGAATGCCATTTTGATTCCCTCAGCCTCCTGATGATGACCAGTGCAATATCTTTTTTATCAATATTACAGTATAAAAACGTTAACAGAATTAGAGCAGATGTATCAAATGATGTATTTTTATTATATTTGTGCCGTAGAACATTTTTCTTTCAATTAAAATTTCTTCAGGAGTTTCTTTGTATACTTTCAATATAAATTGTTATAAAACCCATTATTTTGATTCAGATTAACTATGAGTTTGTGTGATAAATGATCACACTTTATGTAGGTTTTTCATAACCTACAAATGGTCCTTAGCACCAGATTTACCGGTCTCACCAATTGTGCAACACTTTTAGGATATTTTCTGTTACTGCTACCACTATTTTTTTGCTTTCTCTTCATTCGCCACTATCTTAAACGTAATTAGGCTAATAGAAAATATTGTTCAACATACTTTTCAAAGATTTTTTAACTATCTCCAGGATTCCCAGAACCATTTATATTTTTTGTCGTTCGCTCGACGGACAGTTTTGGCAACAGCCAGTCTATATGGCAATTACCTTACCTTACCTCCTTGGCCCCTAAAACCTAAGAAGGTTTTTGGCCTCGTCAACAAGCTGTCTCCACTGCTGCCGGTCTGCCGCTGAGTCCAGGGAGGCACCCATTAGGTGTAGATCCCTCTGTACTCTTCTCTCCATCGCAACTTTGGTCTTCATAATGGTCGAGTGCCTTGTGGTTGTCCATTCGAGACCCTTTTAAGCCTTATCTTACTAATATTATAAATGTGAAAGTTTGTGTGTTTGTTTGTTTGTTTGAAGTTCAATCACGCATTAACTACTGGACGGATTGGGCTGAAATTTTGCATGATGATACCTCATATTCCCGATTAACATATAGGCATATTCTTATCTCAAAAACCCTTTCGGGCTCCGCCCCAGTGGCTCTGTAGTTCCCCATGTTAACCTTATGAGTATTCATATTTAAAGGGAATTAAAGAATTTAGTCAGCTGTTTCAACTAAAAAAGTTGGTTCTATGATATGGAAAGTATTAAAAAGTTATGAGATTTACCAACAGGGTGCAGCACTATTATTTTTTTGCATTTATTTATGAAAACAGCTTATTTGAACTAAGTAGCAACAAAAAACAGTGATTGGCAATGAGAACTAACTGTCAAAGTAGGATTGTTTACTGTTATGTTTATGTTTTTAATTGCATGAATAATTTGTGATGTTTTGCAAAGTTTTAATTATTTATTTTTCTCTATTGTTTAGGTGCAGTGGTAGAAAATTATGGCTATGGTAGATGTGTAATACTATAGTATAGCGTAAATTTTATTATAGTAAACAGTTTTGTTCAAATGTGTCCTACCCCATTGCAAAAGCTAAGTTAGAGTATAACACTGCAATAAACATTTTGCACTTATATGCCAACCCCGTACGAAGGACGGGTACTCAGCTAGTTATTCTATAAGGCAATTAATAATGAATAATAAATTTTCTGGTCCTAGCAAATAAATACAATTTATAAAGAAGGGTTTTGTGCAGTTAAAAGTTATTTTGTTTAACTTGAGATTGTGTGACCATAATGTTGCGGCTTGTGGCACCTAAGTTTGTTGGCTTTGTCCAAAAGGGCCTGATCTCACCTAACTGGTGGCAATTGAACAGAACTGGAGTAAAAAAAAAAACAAAAATAGTGGTAGATTAGTAATGGAAAATGTCCCACAATTAATTTACTTGGTTCATGAAGCAACCGAGACGGTTTCAAAACACTTTCAATAGGCCTAAACTATGTACCTCACAGTAACATAGATAAGATATATTCAATATACATTGCAATATACATTGCAAATGTTACAAGTTTTAATGTGTGGTGTTAATAACCAGACATGGCAATAAGCTTTTGCACAATTTTTGTATTCTTTTGTAATCAACCACAAATTTGCAAGATTTCACACAGTGTGCTTTAATGGCCTTTTGCATGAAATGTTATATAACATCCGCAACAAAGCTTGTGTTGTGATATGCCTTGACAGAATTTGTTTTTGAACTATTTTAGTTAAAAACTAGATAGCCTTATACTATTTTGTCAAAAATATATATTTACAGATGAAGTAATAATTAATTGACAGTTAAAATTTAAATCCATAAAAATAAATTATTTCATAAATTAGGGTTTATTAAATTTGGTAGCATTTTCTGTAGTGATAATTTTTTTATTACCGTTTCCTTTTTATATCTTAACCATCGATCATAAGTGTAAAAGTGATGTTTAGTTGTATACTTTTAAGCTTAAAAGTTTATTTAGAATGAAAGCTCTATAATTAATTGTCTAATTACTCATTTCTGTATCAGCATTAGTTCCTTCTCATTTGTGTGGGTGTGTAAATTATACTTCTATGATTTTATTAACTTTGTAAGTGGGTCTACTCTTATTGTATTTTTAAAATTTACAAAATCAAATAATTTATTTTATCAAATTATTTTACCACATACAGAGTGAAAAGTAAAAAAACTCTTTTTAACTTAAGATATAACACAGGGAAAAATAAAAAAAGTACGGGCATTGTGATTGGTGGTGGTTAAATATGTGTGTGTGCAATTTGTAACCAAAAGATCTCTTTGGGGGATTGTCCAAGAGGTGTCAGAAGGAATAACCTAATCCATATTTAATTCAGTCTGTGGTTGGTTAGACCTATTTTATATTTTATTCACTAAATTTTTATTTTTTATTTCACTTTCATAAATAAGCTCAGGCCTGGACAATAAACCCTTTGGCACTCTTATGTATTATTCTCACCAAGGAATGATTAAGATTCTTCATAAAGCCATTCTAAAGACCCGTGACTATTTAGTCATGTTCAGTCAAAATTGAGTTCAAAGTTCTATAGTTGAGATGGATGTACGGTTGTGTTGACTAAAGTGTAACGCCATGCATGATTGTTAGGAACGTTTTCCGGCAGGCATCTAGTGGACGGGGGGATGAGCCGGTGTAAGTCCCCGGTGACCCGGCATGAACGTGGCGGGTCCAACGATGCCGTCATGATCCGGCCGGACACTTCGTCCAATCACGGATCGGACGAGCCTCCCCCCAACGACCAAGATGTGGTGAGTTTATTGTTTTATGTATTTGGCTCTTTAGGTTACAAAGACGTAGCTAAGAGTATGGTTGAAGGGTCAACATTTAAAAATTGGAAGTTAGAGTAAAAAGATAGTTAAAAAGGTCCACTATTGAAAATCTTTTTGCTGCAATTATTTATGAGTAAGAAGTGATTTATTTTTGAAAAAAATTGTTTTTTACATTTTTTCTATTGTGTATTCTGATACTTAGAGAATAAGGTAAGTGTTTGAACAGTGAGAGGTTTGAACTAATCATAACAAATGTTTACACTGATCCTTCACAAATCAAATAAAAGGTTTTACTGTCCGAAACGCTTATTGTTCCTGTTACTATTTGAAAATGTTCTTGTTAGATTTTCAAATAGGTTAGTTTTTCTTTTTGCAATTTATATTTGAAAATAAAGAGAACCAATTCAACAAATTATTTATGTATTTTTTATTTATTTAACTAAATTGTTGCAAAAGTGTCAATTAGTTACAGTAGTCATTCTCTACAATGTTTGGAAATAATGCAACAACCACAAATATTAAATAACCGCTCCACATCAATTGAATGACGATGGAGACACTTAAAGATGAATGACGTACGACCACACTTAGACTAACAATGTGGCACAGTTGTAGTTGAATTGATGAGTCACACATTCAGCTCATAGTGTAGTAGACTGAAGAATGTTCAACTGTTGCTCATCATATTTTGATGTCTTAAAGTGATTATTTCTTCCTTATCTCAACGTGTCACCAATGAGTTCTTAAAAGTTTATTTAAAAGTTTTCATTGAAAATGACTAATGAAAAGAATTGAATTCAGTAAATCTTAATGTGTATTTTAATAATGTTAGGTGAAACTAAATTTGACTTCTTATTATGGTCCTTGCTCATTAAGTTAAGCTATGAATGGGTTTGAGAGGTTACGTTAGTACCTAGTGATGAAATTACTTTTTTACCTGCATATATTTGTTCTATTTTACAGAAAAGTGAAATAGTTGTTTGAATTAGTAAGCAAAATTGTACTTTTTTAACAAGAAAAATTTGAGGCTTGCTTCAATTTGAAAAAAAAAACACTGATTGGGAATTTGATTTTTTAAGCATACATAAAAAATATTCACCTATTGCAATGTCAACAAGTGGTGCTGACAGTATGTGACAACTAAACTCATGTACTTACTAAATTTTGGTTAGCATTTTTTTGTGACTGAACTGCATTATTGAAGCTGCATACGTGTGTATGTAATAAAAAATTGCATTGCCAACTTAACATTCAGCAAACAAAAACCATAATAATTACTTCATTGTTTAACTAAAACATTGATTACCTTTATTATAGATGTAAAAATTAACTCAATCTTCATACAGCCAATTTCCTGTTGATTACTATTAAACTTTGCCTAAATCTTGTTCTGTTCAGTTGCCATCTGTAGTGAGGAAAAGAAAATGTTGAAACATCAGCTGTTTAGCAATTAAAGTGAACAAAATGCCACCTTTTATTACAACTGTAGACAAAATTATATATAGGTACTGTGTAATTAACCTCGTAAAATGATCTGTAGGAATTCTACCTGCAGTCAGCCTCGTTCATTTCCAACGGCTCCAACGAGTTGACAGAGGACTACGATGGGGATGACAAGACGAGGGCAGCCATTGAACAGATTCACTGCAAGATCTCCAAGACCAAGGATCAGATCAGAGGAGAACAGACGGCCAGGGATGGTGAGGCTATAGAATATACTAAAATTTGCATGATATTAAAAATTGATATATGTGATCTTTGTAGGCTTTTGCTTTGATAAGAATCCACGGTATTATTTTTTTTTTTTTGTCAACTGTGCCATCAGTTGGAGATTGCTGCATACTTTGAGGAGGCTTCTACAGTGTCCTCTTACTATCGTTAGACATGCATAGGGAGCGAGCTGGTCTAGTGGTAGAGCGCAGGGCTTTGGTGCCCGGGGTCCTGGGTTCAAATCCCACCAATCACCAATGAATTTTATCTAAGTGATAATGCCACAACCCACTAGGACCTGCCTGAAGTAATACAGTTCCGGGCTAGAACTAATGTCCTAGGATGTGAAGGCTATCCACTTAGAGTACTTCTTTAAAGTACGGGCGTAACATAATCCCCATTTGACAACAGGACATGAGAAAGTAAATTAAAAAATATTATCCCATGTTGAACCATAGCACAAGTCAAAAGTCTATTCTGTTGTAATTTTATTTTATTTTTTTTATTATGATACAATTTTTTACAAAACTCTTGGCTTGTAAACTATAAGAAAATTGAATTAATTACTTACAAGAAGATATTATCCTATCTTTCTAAACTGGAAAACAGTAAAAGAAATAGTTTTGTCTGGCTTAAAATTTTTATATGTAACCATCAATTTTACTATTGACTAACATAACCAAACGATATCCAGTAAAATAGGCATGTAGTGCTATTGCTTTATGAGCAGCCAAAAAATATTATACCAGAATTGAAAGGAAGTTTTTTCTGCATGCAGCAATTACTTTGCTGTGTAGTTTGCCTTCAACAGTACGGAAATAAATAAACTCTTCAAGTTAGTTTCAAGTTCTACCTTATCCCTATTTAGCATTTCAGTGGTTTTTGGAGAATAGCTTAAACACACATTTAATACTTTTTCTTTGTTTTAAAGCAAGGTGAAGCACAATCAGGTCATATTTATAGATTCAAGTGCTGGATGCTTTGATTTATTTATCTTATCAGTCGTAAATTTGATTAGATAGTCTGAAAGTTCGAACATTGTCATCTTTCATGTGAACCTGGTAAGTCTGATCCTTGTATATATAGCATTGTAATTTCTATCTCCTGAATTTGTAAGCAAAACCATACTTGTTTGTAGATAATGTTGACGAGTATCTGAAGCTTGCCTCCAACGCGGGAAAAGAACAACTTCCTCGGATAAAAGCGGTGTTTGAGAAGAAGAATCAAAAGTCTGCTCAAACCATCTCACAGCTGCAAAAGAAACTTGAAAGCTACAGGTGTGTAAAAGAGAATGTTTTTTACTCGAAATTATGTATTTTACATTAAGGTTAAAACATAGAGCACAAAGGAGTTTAGGTTAGGATTTTTAGTAGCAGGCTTTTGCATTCAGGTAAGCCTGGTATTCTAGATTAATTTTTATTCAGTGAATTTTTAAGAAGAATTAGGCTATGCTTTTTTGTTCCTTTTATATGTGCAATATTGTTTGCTACATTTTTTTCTGACTAAGCTACTTCATTAAATTGTATATAGACTACATAATATTTTTTAAATCTTTAGTTTTTGTCACTATTTAATAACTGTTAAAGGTATTGTTATTTATTGTCAGTTATCAATTTGTGGTATTTTGAATCAAAATTCTTGCATTTGTGTTCAGTTGTTATGTGTCAGTTGTTTTCTTCCATCTGAAGGTTTTGCACCACTTTGAAAGTAAGAACGCTAAATATTTGTTTGGACCAAAGTCTACTGCTAATTCAACAGAATAGTAGTAAATAGTGATGTCGTAGAAAAATCTTTTCCATGAGGCTGTTGCAGCAATGTATTTTTTATTAATACAATCTGTACAGTACACCCGTACTAAGTTATAAATTCTTATTGCCACTGGTTTTTGAGCATCTGAGTATTTCCATGTGAGCTGAAAGTACACATCAAATTAATCTGAGCTGCTGTACAAAAGATTGGAGCCAGTACAGCTGTCTTATCAACCCAGTAAGGTAAATTAGACATTTCAATACAATTTACTTATTCAATACAAACACAATGACCAAGGGTATTTTAAGCCCAAGCCAAAGCTGTAGACATGCAAAGAGGAGTCCCCAAGACCCCAAGGATCAGTAATTCGCCCAGTCCTCTTCCTCCTTCTCACAAATGACCTACCGGTACCTAGTTGGATTGAGGAAGATGGACACACCACTATGTACGCAGATGACACGGTTCTCACATTTGCAGACAGAACAATGGAAAATCTGGAAGAGAAATACATCACACAACTCCAGAGAACAAAGCAATACTGTGCCTCCAATGACCTAATTCTAAACTAAAGCAAAACCGTTCAAATAACTTTCACCACCAATCGCAACAACACAGACATTACAATACTGGGACTACAATCACAAAATACCACAAAATACCTAGGCATCATAATTGACTCTAAGCTATAATGGAAACCCCACATAGACCAGCTCTGCAAATAGGTATGTTTTAGTCTCTATGTCATACGTAGGATCAAGCAAGCTTGCAGCCCAGAAGTAGCCAAAGTTGCGCTCTATTTGAGTCCCACCTCAGATATGGCAAATGCGACTTGTGGGGGAACATGAAAAGGCAACCTGGAAAGAGTACTCCTAAAGCAAAAAAGAGCAATTTAGATGCCTGGCCGACCTAAACTACAGAGAAAGTTGCCAAGAAGCTTTACAGAACCTTAAAATCCTCACATCAGTTTCACTCCACATAAGAGAAGTCATTATCCACACCACTACAACAGCGCAGCCAAGACACAGAGACATACACTAGCACAACACACGACATGCCGCAAATTTTTCCCTCCCACAACCACCTGAGTCTGTACGAGCAGAAACCATCCTACAAAGGTGCTCTCTACTTTAACAACCTACCAGAGCACCTTAAGAGAGAACAACCCAGTCTGTTCAAGAAGCACCTGACAACATGGCTTATGGACCGGCCGCTCTACTCAGAGGATGAATTCCTAAACAATAAGCTACTATAAAAATTTTAAAAAGTTGTAAAAAAGTGGTAGTGTAATTGCAAATTATTGTAATAATTGTACCTGACGCATGAATGTTCTCTAAGAATTTTTCAATAAAGAATTTGTCTATTGTCTATTAGCACTAAGCTACATAAAATGCTTATAAAGGCTTATAAAAGGCTTGTCCGTAGCATTACTTAATAACTTAAGTGTCTTTTTAATGCATCTTGTTGAGTCAGCTATTTATTGGTTTTCTCTTCCTAAACAGTAACAAAGCTTGAGCCAACAAACATGTAAAATTGAAACATAAAATAGTTGAGCAGAGAAAAACAGTAACAAATTGATTTAAATAATAATAATAATACCAAAACTTTTATGTGAATACATTTATAAGCCTTCATAGTTAATCTTAAACTGATCCCTAACATAAAAAAAATTGCAAATATAACTGTAAAAAAAATTGACTATTTTAAGTTTGGGTAGGGACCCTGCAACCTAAAATAGCCTGTAAAAGCTCCGAATGTTAATGATTATGAATGATAAAAATAAACTTCCACCCCTAAATGCTAAGCCAAAGAGCAAAGACGAGGATTACAATGATTTCTTTGTAAAAAATATAGGATTTTATTCAGAACATATGAAGAAGCATTATGGATATTTAGTAAAAAGGGAGGCTGCATCGCTACAGGATAATAACTTTGTTTTTTCCTCACCTTCTCAGATTATTCCAACGCAGCCTGATTTTACTTTAAGAAAACTGCAAAAATCAGCAGAGACAAGAGAAACGCAACCTGACTGTTTTTTAGACAATCGAGTCAGGATGTAAACTCCAAACTCATCCTGCTGCACCAAAATACACAGGAAGTCTCAAATAAAATAAATAGACTACAGCACCTTTTAGAAGAAACCAAACCTGACATAGTAATTCTGACAGAACATGGACTGAAACCTGAGACAATAAGTAGCACCGTCATAGCTACTGGATTCTGCCTCAAGGCTAACTATAGTAGAATAGAACACAGAAAAAGAGGTGTTTGCATTCTTGTAAAAGAAAGCCTTGAGAGCAGCACAGTAGCCATAGATGTTTCCAAGTACTGTAAAGAACTGTTATTTGAAGCAGCTCTTATAAAAATAAAATTCAAGAACTCAAATCTGTTTGTACTGGGAACCTACAGACCCCCAAACGGAGACCTTGAGGAATCATTAAACACCTTTACAGAACTAATTGAGGAAACAAAAATTGAAAATTCCCCTCTTATCATCATGGGAGATATTAACGTTGATTTGTGTAACCCAAACAGGAAACACATTATCTTAAATGAAACTCTTGCTATGCACAACATCCAGAGACTACAGCTTCCACCTACGAGAATAACAAATCTAACACAAACCTCCATTGACTGGATATGTACAAATATGGACACAAACCAACTCACTCCAGAAATCATCAATGCAGGACTTTCGGATCATACTGCTCAACTCTGTACTGTAAACTTCAACTCACACATCAACTCAAGTTATCCTGCCCAAATTGGACGCTGCCTAAAAAATAAAAACCTGCAAGACCTCAAGTATCTTCTCATTCAAGAAAACTGGCTTAGTGTTACCTCAATAAACAATGCCGAAGAAGCTTTTAAAACTTTTAGTAACATAGTGAGAGTAGCTATGGATGCAGCCTGCCCCCAAAAGAAGATAAAAATACAAAGAAAACATAAACTAAAATTCTCCATGGACCCAGAAGCAGTGAGACTTAAAGCCGAATTTCTTAAAGCTCTAAGAAAGTTTGAGGTGACGGGAAATCCAGATGACAGAAGGGTTTCTATTGAAAATAAAAAGAACTATGACCTGTACTTGAAAACGATGCGGAAAAAGGTTAACTCTGACCAGTTGATGAAAGCTGAAAATAAATCTAAAGCTATCTGGGAAACAATAAACACAGTGTGGTCCAAAAAGGAAACATCCCTAAATGAAATAACCCTTCAAGTAGATGGCCAACTCATAAGTAATGTGACCCATGTTGCAGAGCATTTGAATACATTTTTTACACAAGTAGGAGAAAAAACAGTAGAGAAACAAAAACACCTAAAGACCACAGCTCAAACTCCTGACGTAACTCAAACAGGTCCACTGTTTTCCTCCTTTCAAAGCACAGACGAGAAGGAAGTTAAAATGATTATAAACAAACTTAAAGCAAAAAACTCGTCTGGAATTGATGAAATCTCGTCAAAAATACTCAAGCATTGCTGCAATGAACTAGCACTACCATTGGCTGATTTGATAAATAAGTCCCTAAAACAAGGCATCTTTCCTTCACTACTTAAAATAACTAAAGTATACCCGAAATTTAAAAAAGGTAGCACATTAGAAGCAAGCAACTACAGACCAATTTCCCTCGTTTCCACCTTCTCCAAAATATACGAAAAAGTTGTTTTAAAAAGACTTTTAGACCACTGCACAAATCACAACCTACTAAACAACCTTCAACATGGATTTACAAAAGGGAAATCCACAACAACAGCAATAATTCAGATGGTTGAGTCCCTGATTGACAGCCTAGATGAAGGAAATCTAACAACAGGAATCTTTCTTGATTTCAGTAAGGCATTTGACTGCCTTGACCACCAGCTAATCATTAAAAAGCTGGATTCCCTGGGGGTATCAGGGATAGTAAGAGAATGGTTTCAAAGCTACCTTACAGACAGGAGTCAGTTTGTAGAACTAAGGCACAGAGATAACAGCCTAATAAGAAAAACAAGATCAAATTTTCAACCAATAAATCGAGGAGTTCCCCAAGGTTCAGTTATGGGTCCGGTACTGTTTATTCTTTTTACCAACGATTTGCCGCAACAAATAGGAGACGCCTGCCTTACTCTTATGTATGCTGATGACACAACCTTAGTGTTTAATAAACCACTAGCTGAAAATCTAGAAGTAAAATCCTATGTGTCACTCAGTATGGCCTACCAATACTGCTATAACAATGATCTCGCAGTAAACACGTCTAAAACAACTCAAATAGCTTTTGGCCGTAAATCTCAAGAAGTGCCACGACTCCCAGATGTAGAAGTGGAAGATGAAGCTAAGTTTTTGGGCATCACACTCGACAAGAATTTAACCTGGACCCCTCATGTGGACAATATATGTAAAAAATTAAGTTCAACCATCTATGCTCTTAAACATATAAAAAATGCAACAGATGACATGACAACAAAAGTAGCATACTTTGCACTTTTCGAGTCGCATATGAGATATGGACTTGTAGCATGGGGTGGAACCTCTGCCACTAACATGCAAAGAGTTCTCAGAAAACAAAAAAAGGCAGTCAGAATAACTGCAGGACTCCACAGACTCGACAGCTGCAGGGAAGCATTCAGGTCACTCAAAGTACTTACCCTTGTAGCACTCTACATCCAGGAAGTTGTGTTATTTGCAGTAAGAAATAACCCTACAAGGCGTGGCGAAATGCACCAACACAACCTGAGAAACACCATGCAGTACAACCTTCCACAACATCGCACGGCACAGTTTGAAAAGAAACCTTCATATGCAGGAATGAAAATCTACAACAGGCTACCTCCAGATCTAAGAAGCAAGTCAGAAGATGACCTCAAACCAGCTTTGCATCAATGGCTCATTAATCGACCTTTCTATTCCTTAGAAGAATACCATCAACAGGTCTTTGACTAAACAACACCTCAACCAAACATTTAGAAAAAATTGTAAATTGACGCTACTACTATTCTTAATGAATGTGTAAATAAAGATTATTTGTCTATTGTCTATTGATTTGGGCTTTGAAGGATTATTGCAGACATGGTCCGTCATATAAGTAAAAAACATGTTTTCGCACCATTTTGGGATCTGCAATCTTATCCCATCCTCAGGTGAGAAAGTACCAGCACCTAAAAAATATCAGTATTAGTAAACAATTAACAAACTCAACTCAAGTTAGAAAATCACACAGAATAATTACACAGAAAACTGTAACACAGGAAATTTGATCTTGCTTGAGCCACCAACTTGTAACGTGTCCATTTAGTTTGTACCCACCTTCATTCTAACCTATTTTGTTGTTTAAGGTTTGGTTTTGTTTTTTGCATCTTGTTCTGACTACTTTTAAAAGTTTTCTATGAGGTTACCCTGTGTGATTTTCCTGTTTAGTAATCTTGTTATTTTTAGGTACTTTATAACCTGAAGACGGGATCAGATCCCAGATCCCAAAATGTCGGGAAAACTTCCTTTTTTACAAATTGTTATGGGAAATGTCCTCAATAATCACTCAAACACCATAAACCGACCATTACCAAAAATCAACTTCTAACAAAGAATTAATGTTTTGTTTGTAGCATTAAGGATGTAACATGAAGTACAAGGGCCTAGGACTGTCTCAAAAACTACCTTGCCACCATATTGGACCTGAAGAAAACCCTTTCTCCCTTAGGTGAAAATGCTGACAGTGACAGTGAATATTATTCTTATGTTTTGTGTCTCTTGTGCCACTTGTACCAGTTTGGACTCTTTCCCATTCAGGTACGCCTGCTGTCCTCGCAAAAATCCTGTTTGTAGTATTAGTTATTTGTAAGGCGTTAGCTGATCATTGGTTTCTATTCTGTCTGCAGTAAGAAGTTACGAGAGCTTGAACAACATGGGGCTCACGGACACCACCATCACCGGCAGCCTCGAGAAATGTTACGAGACATGGGACAGGGCCTCAAGTGAGTGTTGCAAGCGTATATATAAAAAAACAATATGAATTTAACAATAGAACGACCATTTTTCCATTCTCTGGCTGATCCTATTGAGAAGCTAGATGTGTCATGGTTGTTAGAAGACTAAGAATTAGTTGTTAATTTGCTAGAGCGAAGGCTTTTGTTCCAGGTTAAAATCCTACCAAACCACTAATTGACCATGTTATTACTAGATCCACCTTCACCTATGACACATTAGTTGTCAAACTGTCCCCCTCCCTGATACATTAGATACATGTATTGATACATGATAATTAGACCAATTCGTATATACCAAGGAAAAAATGTGGTTCGGATTCCACTATAAACTGTAGGTCCCTTAGTTGCCATTAGCTGTTTGGGCTATTAATTAACAGCTGTGTCTAAGGAATGTCGGCCTTAGTCACTAACAAGACTACAAGATCGCGCCACTCATCCTACACTCATCTCCATTCATACTTGGCTTAAAATACCTACATTGTATGGTCGCCATTTTCATAAGAAAGTATAAAAGTACATGGTTCATCAAGTCTTAAAACTATATAAAACTGCCAAAGTTTGGTATGACAAAATTATTTCCACAGACAACTTAGTAGACCTTTACATGTAGGGAGAGATTACTATTGGTCAATAGAGAAAGCTCTAGTCTATACTGTTAGATTCAGTTTTGGCCTGGTTAGGTCTTAACAAACAGTTTATACATTTCAGACATGTCGGCGGAAATATACGGGATGGAATCTCTGGGTTTTCTGGGTGAGTTAGTGATTTTTTTTTTCTTTAGGCTAACTGTTCTAGCAGCTGACAGCAAGAACAATTAACTATGATAATATTCTTAGTGGCAGGAGTAAAGCAAAATAAACATTATTCTAATACAGTACCGGCCTAGTTAAAACAACAATTTTTCAGTCAGTGCAGCATTTTTTATCATTAACAAGGAAAATCAAACATTGCTTATCTTCAGCTTGTTAATGCTTAGTAAGTCCAGATAAAATGAGCATGTAGCCTAGTATCTATGCTAATGTTTTTGTAACTGCTTTTGGATCAAATGTTCTGCCGTCTTCGTTGGGCAAGCTGTGTTGTGTTGCACTGCTATAAAATACATCGTAATGATACAATTTCTCTCAAGGGTATTTATTATTTTACATTTACATTAGGTGCATTTTTACAGTTTTAAAGTAAAGGTTTTGCCTTGAAATACTTTAAACATCACATGGCTGGTGCTCAATCACTGGTGGACTGGTAATTAAGAATTATGTCTAATTTAAGACGGCAAAAGCCTTCCTAGTTTCAGAGTTCATGTTTGCCCTTAGGGTTTACCCCAGAGTAGTGATGCGCGATTGCGAGATGTTACAATCGAAACGTTTCGATTGTTTGAACCTCTCGAGACGTTTCAATTATATTTTTGCTTAGCGAGAGGTTCTTACCGAGAGGTTTTATCGAGATGTTCGTGACGATTGTTTTGTTTCAGCACGGCTTCTCTTCTCTCGTATCTCGCATTCGTCTAGAGAACCGAGAGGCGAGAAGTCCTTACCGAGAGTCTTTTTAACGGGTTGTTCATGGTAATTGTTTTGTTAAGTGCGGCATCGTCATTTATTATCATATAATTTCTATTGTATCTGCTGGGGATTGACCCCAAATAAGAGGTATATCTTACTTCAAAACCAAGGAAAGTTTGTGGATATATTACTTACTTTATCTTCGGAATAGTGACTTAATACCACTCAATAAAAACTATTGACAAGACGATATATTTTACAAACGAAATGTTTGTATTTAAATCAAAATGTTTATAACGAGACAGAAGGTTTTTTTTTCAATTTTCTATTTCTGTTGCCATGATGGAGTGTCGTAAGCGCTTATTCATATGTCAGCAGTATATATATATGTTGTGCATAATAGTCTACTATACTATATAAGAATCTAGAAAAAGAACTAGCAACCTCGTAACAACTCTCATGAAATGTAGACAGATGCGAATAGACGTTTAGGCTTAACGAATGCAACATTCGGGAGAAACATTTTGATTGTACAAACCTCTTGCTAAGCAATCGAAACAATTGATAAGCGGAACATCTCGAGAAGGAACATTTCAATTGTTCAAACATCTCGCAATTGTGCATCACTACCCCAGAGGATGTTAGAACTCCAGTCCAGCCTACATTTATAAAGCTAAATTCAACTCTTAAATGCAACTTAGCTGTATTTTAAATGCTGTGTTGACCAACTAACTGAAATTTAAAACAATACTTCATGTCACTGCCTACGTTTCAGTCCCATGTTAATAAATCTATCCTAATATCTATCCTAAGTTGCCTGAAATCATTTCAGTAGGCCCATATTTTCTCATGAAAAGTTGCCAAACTGAAATTACAGTAGAACTCTTAATCATCCTAATCGATTTGGACCTTACCTTATTTGGATGATTAAAAATTAAAATGGTTGGATTTGTACCAAAATTTATACTATTTTATAGAAAATAGCGTCTAGCCGAGCTTTTACTATCGCAATCGCAAAACATGTCTGTGAAGATTTGGCGGAGTTTTTATTCGGGAAAGTTCGGAAGCCGAGGGTGCATTCGGCAGCCAATGTGAGTGCTCGTACGGAGGAAGCATGTGTAAAGACGGGGTGTGTTAGTCGGAGGGTAGCTCGCTATGTGAAGACATGTACTTCTGTTGACTTCGTGTGTATGACATCCCGAGCGCAGTGTACGAGTGCCATATACAAGTAACATCGGGTGGTGTTGTATGTTCTACGAGACTGAATAACAATTTCTACTTAAGTGTCTTAAAAGGAGTGTAGGTGTGCCGAGGTGTGCAATGAATGACCCTTGCTCAATCTCAATACTTAACGGGACCTGCTTCTCAAATTCGAGCCACTGTATATAGTGCCGAGAAATATTTAGACTCAGTGCCGATCGAAGTACGACAATCTCTGTTGACCAACCAATAATCGAGGACAAACATAACTTGATGACCCCAACCGGCGTCGCTTTGAATTGCGTCTACAGGGTGGAGACCGTCGTCAGGATATACTGCTGAATCAACATGACAATGAGGTACCTAAGATCACCACGTACTCAGGCCAGATTAAATTTTATTTTATTTACTTGTATGAATATCAATAACTTACCATCATAATTAAAATTTGTAAACAATCATAACTAAATTTAACAATTAGTTCATTTTTGAATTGTTTGATTTCTAATTTATTTGAATAAATATCCGTTATTGTTCATAATTCCATGTTTTTATTTTTCCTGTTTACCGTACGGCATTAGACTCTGAGATATAAATTACAAAATCTAAAATGACTTAGCTTAGTGGAATATAACTAATTAAAGGTAACTTTTAATTGGTTTTGATTGAAGATTGACAGAACTGAATTGACAGACTGTAGCAATTTTAAACTCGTTGACCAAACACTATTAAATAAATGAGACACGAGTCGCAACTGTCCTATGTCAGTGTCGTCCGCTTCTATTATGTGAACTGTTGCTTTACCTTCTACTGGTGCCATATATTGTTTCTCAATTTGTGTTTGGTAAACTGGAATCAAATTTTATTATACGGTTGTGATTGTGCTTTTGTCATCTTTCCTTACAACGGAAAGGTCCAGATAAAAACGGTTGTCGGCTCAGATGCGGTTATTACAGGTAGCAACAATCTATTGGTATCACTATAGCAAAAAACAGTTTTCTTCTGTTATGCCGATCACACCAGGCTAGGTTAGGTTAAGTAACCCATTGGTACATTTTGGGTGGCATTTTAATTGAAATAAATTATTTTTCAATGTAAAATAACCTAACCTAACCTGGTGTGGTGGATGTAACGAAGAGAACCCCAAAAACTAAGTTTCCACAATATTTTTGTATCTGGAACTGATTTGGTCCACAAGTGAGATTGTGCTTAATTTTAACAAGATCATACCAAACTTAAGCGGGAAAATGTAAAAAAAACTTAACAGAGAACTGTAGTATGCATATACGATTCAAAACAAAATATGACAAATCTAAAAAGAAAATAACCAAAAAATGTTTTTAAAAAATGGTTTGTAATCGTGTGAACAATATAAGGGGAATTAAAAAAAGCACAAATAGATTGAAAATCCGTGATGTTCAAAAGGGAAAAAAAATTGATTGGCTTTCAGATGTGACTGCCATGAAACTAGCTCATTAGTATTATTTAACGTTCCTAATCAGGAGATAGGAGTTTCATTGAAGTTTTCAACTTGGCCAAGATTTTGTACTGGCAGTCGCGTGTCTAACCTTATAATGACTATATCTGTTAATCTATTTAGGTCAGTGATGTCGAAACCCAGAGAATTCGCTCATCTGATAAGGAACAAGTTTGGAAGTGCAGACAACATCAACTCTATGTCGAGTAAGTATTTAATTTTGCTTTTGAATTTAGAGAAAATAAACAGTTTCCTTGTAAAAATAGATTAATATATAGTTTACTTGGTGGTATTGTTTAATTCAACTGATTGTGAACCCCCAGAAGTCAGCTTTAATTGTTGAATTTAGTCGTTTTAACTGAAAAGAAACTCATAAAATCAGTTTAACTGTTGATTAAAATTCTGATAAGCTACCAAACTATACAAAATGTTTTGACCTTTTAAACTACCAAAGCTGTAGCATATTTTAAATCTGGATTTTATTCAAAATTAAACATGCTGTATCTTTACTATGTTCCATTCTATAGTTTAATCCCGTTTAGTTGTAGTATTGCTTTGAATTCATATGCGGCTCAAGATTGTTCAAGTGTGTGTGTGGGGGAGCAAGCTGGTCTAGTGGTTAGAGCGCTGGACTTCAGTGCCTGAGGTCCCGGGTTCAAATCCTGCCAAATCACCAATGGATTTTATCCATGTTATAATACTGCAACCCCTAGGTCTAGCCTGAAGTAATGTGAAAAACAATCCCGAGCTCATGTCTAGCGTCATAAGGACAAAAAAAAAAAAAAAAAAAGGTTTCTTAAGTGTATAGTTTTTACATTTGGTTTGCTTTTGCTTTAGATCTTTCTGGTAAAATATGGAAATTATGTTCTCTGCAACATTTTTGCTACATTTAATGTTAAAATGACAATTTGTTTGTACATATGGTTTAGTTATTTTAGTTGATGTTACTGTCTAGTATTTCAATTGTATATAATAAATTGACTCTTTGTATGTTGGTGAAAACTTACTTACTCTTTATTTTAACACATCTTTAACTCACTAGTAGTCCCATTAACCTTTGGTAGAATTTTCAAAGTATTTTCTGTACAATACTAACTAATGCATTTCTTATTTCATAAGGGTTCGAAGCTGCAGAAACAAATCGAGGATAACGTTTGTATGAATTTTTTGTAACATAACCTCTTTTGATAAAAAAACTATTTCCCTTCTAGTCTATCACAATCTTGATGAAAAGTTCAAATCTTGTCCCAAGAAAACAATATACGAGATTTTTCTAATGAAGAGTCTGAAAATGAGTGTTTTTTCAAACTTGTAAGCATTATTTGACTTAAAAATGAACTTAAGATGTTCATATTCCTATTACTTTTGTATACCCTCTCTTTAATTTGTTTTGTCACTTCCTAAGATCTGTCTTTTTTCACAGTCTTTAATGGAATATTCTATTGAAGAATAAGCTATAAAATGAAAGACGTTTTATTTTTCAGGAAAATGCGTTTAAGGTTTTCACTAATTTAATTAATAATGAATGGGCACTAGCCTGTCACTTTTCTAAGAAAATAGTTTGCAGTTGCTAATTTACATATATTTTGACACCTCAAACGTTAAAATCCGTCAAGCCGCTATCGACTTATGACTGTGAAAAGAAAACTGCTTGCGTATTAATATAGAGATTTTAAATCTAGTTCATTTAAAAAAAGGTATAGAAAAACAAAAAAACAAATAGGTACTTACTTTGCCATTGTCTATGAAAATGTGGAAAAAATCTAGCCATCTTGTTTTATATAGATCTTAGTAGGCATGGTAAAATAACCCAATCGTTTTAAGTTCTAAGTACAAAATTTGAATAGTAAACAACTAATCCAATATAGAATGTCAGGAGGATAACCTTTTAAGATACCTGAAGTTTTAGACCTTAACTGAAAATTATTACTAAAGTATTTATCTAAACACTTGTAGTTTTGTGATTTTGATATGTATTATATTGTAAATATGTACAGGTAGTCCCTGCAATGTGCAATAGATGTGGCAAAGTGCTGCGTACAGCGAAACCGTATAAAGTCGGGACTTGGGCAAGCAAGTTGGGTTTTGCTTTTGGGGGATTGTTTGAGGTTTTTGCCCAAGCTATCTTGACATCTAGAACCATTAGTACGACCGATTCATATAATAATGCCAAATTTATTTGGGAAACCCCTTTATCTTAGGACCACACATCTAAGGAGATATTTGGCCGCACCAACAAAGCCATATCTCTTTATCTTATGCATCTTTCCCTGTCTCAAACAAATCTCCTACCTGCTCTATATCTCCCTTCATCTGTTTCCACCAATTTTGTCATAGCCTTCCTCTTGGTCTTATTCCTTCATCGTTCCTCATTGCTACATGTTTAATATTACCTCTTCTCCTCTTCTTCAAACATGCCCAGCCCATCTAATCCTTCTTCATTTATATTCAGAAACCACATCCTGATCTTTACACAATATTCTTAATTCCCTAAGGTGTCTTTTCCTCCCAACTAATATAAATAATTATGCTTTTAACTTTGTTATTTCAACACTCTAACAAAATTAAAAGCTTATAGGTGTGCAAGTAAAAAAAAAAAACAGTTCAAAACTAAACACGCCTTTATAGTGTCTACAACAGAGACATTGAAATAAAAGTCATAAATGCTTTTAAGGGAAAGTGACACAAACCTCTCAAATTGTAGATAATATGCTGGGGATCAACCTGTTCCCCTCACTCAAAGTCCTAGATATTAACCACTAGGTAATATACCTAACAGATCTTTGTAGGTTGCTTTGGTTATGAAACGTAGGCTACAATATATAAAAAGGTTTAACAAACGAAGATTGTGTATAACAAGGACTACCTGTACAAAGTTTGGGCACTTATTAACCACTAAGCATGTATCTACACTGCATGATTCAGTACACCCAAAGTGAGGGTTAGCAGCTTGGTTTGTGCCAGGAAACGGGGAGACAGATGGCGAGGAGGGGGGGGAGAGGGAAAGAGGGCATCATGGCAGCGCGACCCTGCCCGGCAACTGCAGCCTGGGGTCGACACACAGCGCGACCGGCCTCAAGTTCCAGAGCGAGGACGGCAGCGAGTGCAGCAGCGTTACTAGTGAGAGTGTGCCTGGCGCTCACACGACGTCGCCCCACTCTATGTCCAACCCTGCCTCGAACAACCCGACCCAGGACATACTGCTGGCTGAGGTGAGGCGCAACAAACAGGAGATCGAGCGGCTAAAGGACAAGATGGAAGCTTTTAAGGTATGAAATTTGGGATTCACAAGTCTTGCAATAACTGATATCGTGTTTAATCTATTGTTCTGGTTATTCCGTGGTCTAATGTGGGCTTCTCCATCTTTATCTCCCTCAGTTCCACTTTCTGTACTATTTGCAGTATATTGTAAGTGTTTTTCAAATGTTTTGAAATTGAAATGTGTTTTGAGATGTATTGAAACAAGATGAAGTGTTTGAAATTTCTGACTGTGTGAGTCGGTAGCGCCATGGACTTGCCAAAGGCAGCAATGTTGTGGGTTTGTATCCTGGCCACTACTTTTTATCAGTACACTTCACCCCATCCATATACCATCAATGATTCACCCTTGTACTCTGCTGGCTCACCACTTGCTTTGCTGTTCCACACACAGGTCCGTATCCTATGTGGACATGTAAGTGCAAGGATAAAAGAGGCAGACAACTTTACATAAAACATTACAAATATTATGCCAGCATTTAAATAATCCAAAAAATATATATTTGAGGGAGGGCCTTTGCTCAACCCCTAAAACAGGATGCCTGTCTGTCCCTTCTGACAGAACCTCTTTGCTCATACCCTTGGCCATTCTGGACTTTTTTTGTAAATCTGCTGTCTCAACAACCTTTGAAACGTAGCCCATTGTTCACTTACATCGTAACTGGTAGTTTGTGTAAGTGTGTGACATACGTGTTGCGCAGCAGGCTGTACACAAGGAGGTGACGTACCTGAACAGCGCCCTGGCCGAGGAGAGGTTCCGGAGCGAGAGACTGGAGGAACAGGTCAACGACCTCACAGAACTGCACCAGAACGAAGTGGAGAACCTTAAGACTGCCATCTCCGACATGGAGGAAAAGGTAAATAAACAGCTTCCAACAGTCTAGTGATTAATACAGACTACAGAGTCATTCAAACACCAAGTGATATGTGAACAGATTTGAGTATTAATTTAAAATTTTAGATAAGTTTGGCATTGAAGGGCTTGAAAAGGGAAAAGTTACAATTGTAGTAAATACTTAAAATACTATACTTGAATGTATTGTTCAGTAAATTTATTATGTGTCTGCTATTTTTTCAGTATGTGTCTTTGATGATGATATTTTACTTGATTTCACATATAGTCATCTTACTGTGAAAGTTTGTGTGTTTGTTTGTGTGTGTGTTTGAAGTTCAATCACGCATAAACTTAAATGAAGATCTTAAAACAATAACAGAGAAAAAAAAACAATTAAAAACATTCTGAAAACATATGGAAACATTCTAAACTAGTTTATATAGTGATTTATTTACCTCTTACCACTACTAAGGTTTCGACGTTGGCTGCATCATGATCATGTTGATACTATTGTCGAAATAATGACATTCTGTCGGTTGCTTGGACGTCGTCAAGGGCTACACACAAACACACCCGTGTACATGCACATTGCATACATAAATAAGTGTTTGTGTGTACAGAAATCTTTTGACAATGTCCAAAGCGTTTTTTTTTTTTTTTTTTACCCTTTAAAGGTAGGTGAATTTAAAATTGTCAACAAAGCACACACAACAAGAATGTGTAATTCTTTATTTCCTACTAATATTATGAATGTAAAAGTATCGATGTTTGTGTGTACCTCTGAAGTTCCATCACATGAAATTTACTGGACCGATTGAGCTGACATTTTGCAGAGAGGTACTTGATCGTCTTGCAAAACACATAGACATATTAAAGTTGTGAAAATCCTATAGAGCTATGCCCCACAGGGGTTCAAAGTTTCCATGTTTTTAATGAGTATCTTTTTTAATTTTTTATGCCTAAGGCATTTTTTACGTTTTGAAAGGGTCCAAACCCTGGTCTTGTTACTATCTAACATCGACCTTTTTGTTAGATAGCATCATTAATTCATAGCCCAATGACAAATGGCATCTGGGTCTGGAAACAATCTTGCTTGAATTCGAACGAGCAACCTTCAGATTTGAAGGCAAGCACTACAACCACTCGGCTGCCCAGACAATTTAAATGGTATTAGTATTCATATTTAAATGGAATTAAAGAATTTTGCCAGCTGTTTCAACTAAACAAGTTGGTTCTATGATATTTAATAGCATTAAAAAGTTACAAGGTTTACCAACAGGGTGCAGCACTATTATTATTTTTTTTTCATTTATGACAACAGCTAATTTAAACTAAGCAGCAACAAAAAGCTGTGATACACAATGAGAACTTTCAAAGTAGGAATGCTTACATTTGTGTTTATGTTTTTAATTTAATAAATAATTTGTGATATTTTGCGAATGTTTGCTAATTTACTTTTTTCTATTATTTAGGAGTGATAGAACATTATGGCTATGGTAGATGTGTTATACTATAGCATACCGTAAATTTAAAGAACCAAATTTTCTCAAACCGTGTCCTCCCCATTGCAAACGCAGAGCACGAGTGTAACTGCAATAAGCATTTTATACTTATAAATCATAAATCCTAAATCTTTATTGGTCATTAAATAACAGATGTTCCAATAGACCTCGTTAACAAAAAAAGGTGCCAAAACGGGCCATAGATTCTAGATAGTATAACATGGTCTATAACATGGAATCTTCACTAAACTTAAATATAACAAAGACAACAAGAAAATAAAAGCTAAAATCATTTGAAAAACTCAGCACTATATATATGAAACAAAAGTGAGGTACTTAAACAAAGTGTTTGAAAGACTAGGTAACAGTTGACTAGGGACTAAGTAAGAACTAGATAACAATTTTACCATTACAATTGTGTTCTGCAAAAAATTCATCCAAACTGTAAAAAGGGTGGTCAGCAAGCCAAACCATCAACTTTTGTTTTAGCCGAGTACAAGGAATGTCACTGCAAGGAAAGTACAAGGAAAGTACAAATACAAGGAAGTATTTCACTTGCAAAACAATTTACTATTTTTACTGATATACTTGCAAAACTTTGCTGTACTGTTGTTAGTCTGGTGTAGGGCCTATCCAAAGCAGATCTTCCCCTTGTGTAATATGAGTGAAAATTATTTCTTGAGCTAAAGAAATGTGAATTTTGTTTTACAAAAATAACACACTCTAATATATACAAATTTACAGTTGTCAGGATACCTGTTGCTTTAAAAAGAGGTTTACAATGGTCCCTCAACCCTGAATTGGTCAACAGTCTTACAGCCTTTTTTTGAAGCTTTAAAATTATTAGAATGTGGGTGGAGTTACCCCACAGTAACAGACCATACTTTAACAGACTTTGAAAAAAAGCAAAATATACGCCAACCCCGTATGAAGGGCGGGTACTCTGCTAGTAAAACTATAAAGGTTTTACTATATATAGTTAACTATATAGTTTCATAAGCAGTGAAACTAAATTTTAATGGATTGTCTTGTTGCAGGTCCAATACCAGAGCGAGGAGAGGTTGAGGGACATTCATGAAATGCTGGAGTGTTGCCAAACAAAGGTAATTATAATAAAGTTTAGTATTGGTAACAGGTGAATAAAATTACATTCAAACAAAGGCTTTTGACACCAACCATGATCTGAGTTGGTTAGCCAAAATCTTTAGGTTTACCAATAATACTTGAACAAAATATTAATTATACATTCTCAAATAAATATTAGTAACGATTGTCAGTATAGCAACCATTTTAGAAACAATTACACCTTGCTGTTTATAACCGAGACATATAAAAGATATGAAAGGAAAAAAACCATTCTGAATTTCTATCTAATGCCAATAAGAACGTGATAAAAAGAGTGGCCTCAGACCAGGAAATCCGGAAATATTTTAGAAGAGAGGGATTCGGAAAGACAATTTTAGAAAGGTTTAAATCCCAGGAATGTACTTTATTTGCTTGGGTAAAAACACTCAAAACTCTGTTAACACAATAAAAATGTGATTGTTAATAAAAAACATCATTAACATCTCCTGCTGTTACTGCAAAACTATGAACATTGTCTGCGGTCAAGTCAAAATCATGTATATCCCATACGGTCACAGTAAAATCGAGGACATCTTTCGCCGTTACGGCAAATTATAAACATCTTCTGCGGGCTTAACGATGCCATCGGCTCCTACGATTGTGGAAAAACTGTGAATATCATCTGTGATGTTGACAAAATCGTTTATTTTTATCGGGCATCTTCTCAAATGCTTTCTGTGATCGCGGAAACATACACTCGGGTATGACTTAACCCAAGTTTGGCCCGATAATCATTTTATGCCCAAAATGATCCATTAGGCTAACTATTGGCCTGACCCGAAGATATCAAGGACCTACAGGCCCTTAGTATAAAGGTACTCTTGACGACCAGAAATTTCATCTCTTGTTGTGGTGTTTCCGGACCAATTATTTGACAATAAATAAAAAAGTGGGTTGTCGCCTTGTAATCCAGGTGTCCTACTGGATTATGCACATTTCTGCGTGAACGTCATCTTCAGGTCCACGGGATAAAAACTAATGACTGGGAATCACAACTGGGACAAATTTTGGTGCCGGGAAAAATGTGAGGATTTATTTCTAGGAAATTTATATTTGTAGCCACTTGTAAAGGAAGAATTATAATTGTCCTTTGCACTTGTGGATTTTGCAGTAGAATTCTTACCATGGGACATTAAGTGTCAACCTTGTTGTTAACTGTTACTAGATCTCCAAGATGGAACATCAGCAAGCCCAGCACCAGCAATATCTTACTCTGGAGGGACTGGACAACTCTAGTGCACGAGCTCTGGTAGTCAAGTGTATAAATGTGTTGCTTACCGTGCTACAAGTGATCCTATTGCTGGTAGCTACAGCTGCTGGTATCCTGATGCCCTTTCTTCGTACTAGGTAATGTGGATAGATCGGTCAATTAAAACAATCTAATCATACACTTTCAAATATATCTAGCTACGTTTTTAATGTTATAAATTACTTCTGCCATATTAAATCTTAAAAAAGCCAAATGGCTTTGGAGTTTTTTAAGGAATATAGTTTAGCTAGCTTACCTGAGGAAAATAGAGTCAAGAAGCTAATAAGTAAACAGTTGAAGAACCCATTGCTCTTAGACCTACACTCTAAGGTCTACCGCCCTTGAGAGACTTTATGTCAATTATTATTGCCAACCACAAAAACAAAATAACCCATTTATAATCCAGTGTAATGTTTATTACCGTATTATAAACATTGTATACCAATTCGTTTTTTTGACGGATATATACGTCTTTAGCCCAGGAAAGAAATTTCTCGGTACAGATATATCAGTTTTCAGCCCGGAAAGTAAACAAAGATTGACAGATATATCCATCCATAGCCCTGGAAGGGTTGAAGAAAAAGTTAGTTTGGACAAAAAGTCTCTCGTGTGCGGTAGGCCTATTTAAGTCCTACATCAGTGTTATATTTTGTGTTCTTTTATGTGTTTGTATTAGCCCCTGGGCTCTAATTTTCTCAGGTGAGCTAGCATTCCTTTTCAAAAATGTCTTCTACAATATTTAAATAAATAATATATAGGATAGAGAGTACTCACCTGATAAAAGGTTGCAGACGAGTCAAAGAACACATCCTATATATTTATTTAATCCAAGCTAAATGTTTTTGTTTTTTTTTTTGTAAAAACATATTCTGCAATATTTAGTGTGTTTCTCATTTTTCAGTGTCAGTAAAGACAAAGACCATATAGTTATAGTTACCACTCCTGATTAGTTACAAGTTTTCAAACCTTTCAGGGTGGTAGATTCTCTTCAGAATAAATGTTAAAAATCCAAAACATTCAGTTGGTTGGTAGAACAATACTTTTGGTTTTAATTCTGCTCAATACTCAAGGAAAAGTGTTAATAGTATTTTGGAACAAAAACAAAAATTGCGGTAGTCTTCTACTCTTTAGTACCCGGCACTTTGCTCCTTAAGTCCCTGCTTAGTTTTCTCAACATACTAATGTATTAGTTCTTACATCTACTGTGTTTAATCAATGGTAATGCTCGCGGTTTTTGGCTGAAAGAACTGTGATTTTAGGTCCATAGCATGTTGCAAAGCTGTGAAAAGCTACTGATTTGCTATATTTTCTCAGTGTCTTGTTTCTGTTCCCAGGTTAAGGTGTTTGACGACGGTGGGTTTGCTAGTTGTGGCTGTAGTGGTGATGAAACAGTGGCCTGAACTCATGGACATTACCAAGTAAGACAATCAAACCACTTACTTACCTTTTACATCTACATACAACTGATTGCGCTACCTCCTGTGCTATTTGTTAACATAAGTGTTAAATTACTTTAAAAATAATAAATTTATTTTTGTGTAAGCATTAAGCAGTTTGTATTTTGAGATGAGCCTAGCCTTAAAGGTCATGAGATTGAGCAACAATCTTGAGCTGTGCTTTTGCCATTGCGTAACTATCGCTATTACAAAGCGTGAGTGTGACGATTGCACGATGAAAAAACACTCACATTCCCATGATCACTCGGGCTGACAATGTTTCCGTTAACGCAGGACTTAATTCCTTGTTTCATCATCCTTTTATATAATTGTAAATATTATTTATCTCTATTTAACTCTGATTATAAAATTAATTTGCTCTTTGAATAGAAGATTTGTGGCGGATTAACTATGTCATTAGCCTATATAACAAAACTGAAAAAGCTCGAGGCTTGATTGAAATCTCAAGCTTGCACACTTTTATTTCAAATTTAAAAAATCAAATTACTAGAAAATACTTTTTTAAATGTAAGTAATTAAAATATAGTTCTGCCTGCACTGCACATCGTGTGGCATCGTAAAGCTTTTGGTGATTTTTTCGTATCATAGCTTAGTAGAGCCATAAAAAGTCAATGTCTGATTATCTGTTAATGACACTTATGATGGCAATTCACGCTGCCTTCTTTGAGAAAACTAGATCATCGACCAATGTCAATAATTTCCTGTATTCACTCATGGTTTTACATATAGGGAATAAGCCATTACCATAGTTCTCATGGTAAGACCTGAACCCTGGATCCGATTTTGATGAAATTTGGTACAAACGTGTAAACCTACATTTATTCGAACGAGTTCGCGAACCAGCATGATCGGACTATAACGAAGGTTTATGGAGGGTTTTATGGAGTAAAAATAGGTTTTTCCCATTTGACCCTGAAAACACAAAATTGCACAATTTCTTTCCAAACCATTTTGTAGAGCTTAAAACAAAATTGTGTATATTGAAGCGTTACTATGCACCTAATGGTTACGGAGAAAATTCCAAAAAATTGTAAATTTAAAATTCCCATGTTATTCTTATGGAGAATAAGTCAACTGTTGTAGTTTGCTTGTTTATAGGGGTGTGCGATGCATCGAAAATGCATCGAAATTTCGATTCGATTCGATTCGATGCATCGAATCACGATTCGATTCAGCATGCATCGAAATCACGATGCATCGATTTGGCCTCGATGCATCGAAAAAGACCGATGCATCGGTTAGCTCCCGATGCAACGATTACGTCCCGATGCATATTTAAAACTAATTCAGGACTCCAAAATGAGTTTTAGATAGGGAAGTGTCAATTATCGCTACCACCGATACTCGGACATTGCCGATACTAGGAATATCGGTATCAAGAATCGATTGCCAAACATCGATTTCGCCCGATTCCGCCGATACCGACAGCCGACAGGGATGGATAGATATTTTATTTTAACATTTATTTATTTGATATCTATTAGTTTTGTAATCACGATAACAACTTTAGTAACCAACTTAGCACACTATTTAGTGCAAAACAGCTAAAGTTTATTTTCAGCTGTTCTCTCTGCAGGCAGATGATATTGCACAACACAATACAATCTACATTTCAAGATGTCAGACAGTCAGAATTCAGTCTCAGACAACCGGCGCGCGAGTGTCCTCAACACGAAATTATACTAAAAAATGTCTGTATCAATAAGTCAGATCTTTAAATGTATTATTTTTATTTTTAGAACAAAATAAATAACCTAAACTTGTCTAAATGTTCAGTTTCATCCCTGCATTACGCATCATTAGAAAAATTCGATTCAATTACAACATCGAAGTCAGGGGGTTAGGCTTGCACTTGCCTATTGCACCAAAAAGTAGATCCATATTATATCTGTACTATCTACCTAGTTTAAGAGTTTAAGTGAAGTTTTAAGTGCTACTATAACATAAGTTTTGATTGAAAAACAAAACACCATACGCATAGTCCATGTCGATTTTGTAATATTATAATGAATGGTAAATGTTGACCATCTAAGATAAATCAAAGTATGTAACAAGAGTTCTCATTGGTCGAGAGGCCAAGCTGCACTGTCATGTCAGCCAATCGACGTTCGTGTTTCAATGGAGCAAGTGACGATTGCTAAGATACATTGATAAATATCAAGAACCGTTATGTAGGACGTGTTTGTTTGTAAAGAGTATAAAATTAGGTTAAAGTTTAAAACGGTGTGATTTTCTTTTGTCTTACAAAGACCTAGATTTGACAATAAGGTTATAAACGAGTATTGTCGCGTCGTTGTTCCTTGTTTGTTTACTTTTTCAGATTCCCTATCAAACGCCCCTATCTGCTATCTCTCTCTCCCCCCCTCTCTCTCTAACGATGTACTGATTAAACAGATTGTGGTTGACGACTTTTCTACTTAAGATCCCCTGTGGTTATTTTAGTTCAATCCATCCCATAACCTTTCTATCGTTTATCAAAATAATTAATTAATCTGTTTTGTATTTTATTTACTTTAAACCAACCCCTATTTACCATCTGTATTTTATAGAATAAAATGTTTGTTTATAAATTTTGACTGGCCACACAATTTTGTACCTATTTTATTTTGTATAAAGTAACAGATACTTTGATGATTATATCAGTTTATATATATATCAATAAGTGCTGCGTGCTGTAATGAATGCTTTTTATTATCAAAATAAGTAATCAATTATGAATTTTTGATAATACATGGGTCATTGAATAGGTACCATAATGTCATGTAGTTTCCTATTTGTAACTTGCAAATAATAATAATTGATAGTTAATTCTGGAAAATGAAAAATAGTTAACGCATTCATAAACCTGTTGTCAAAACAGCAACGCAGGTGTAAGGGTTTATTGTTTCAGAGGCTAGGGTGTTTCAAGGACAAAGTGTTAGGCCTCCCGGCTTAGGGGGGAGGGGTGGTGGTTAGAGGGGGAGGAAACTGGTTTTGGCTATTTATTGATTAGTTCACCGACCCTTCTAGACAACAAAATTGAGTGACAGTGACAGTGTTAAATCACCGTGTTCTGTATTTAATTTGTTGTTTACTTTGTTTGTTATTCTATTAATTTTAGTGTTTTGTTCTATTTCCTCCTGGTCCCTTGCAAATTGTATTATCAATGCTAAATAATTGTGGTCAATTCAAATTATATTTTTGATTATTCAAATCTCCTACACAAAAAGACAAAAGTCAAACCAGGCAAGGAAAAAACCTGCTATTGTAATCCCCGTACCCAGCCATTTGGGAAGTGGTGAAAGTCTAGTCTAAATATAGCTCAAAGGTCTCACCCTTCCCTTCCCCTACTCAATGTTACTATTCCGTTCATTTCAAGGTCATTGCACAACGCCTGCCTCCCGTCTATTGTTTTGCCTTTATAGTGTTTCTATTCTGACTTTTATAAACATAAATTTATTGCTTACGTAGTTCAGTAGTGAAATTTTCTATTGTGAAACAGTAGGCCTACTTTAAAACAAAATCACTACCGGTCATGTCATTCTATTCTGTGTCAAGTCAGTATACCATTGCCATTGCCAGTCAGTCGCCGGCGGCTGCTTTGAGTTGACCTATTCTGTCGTGACAGCTATAAAAATAGGTTAGGACAACTACCTCTTGCTTATTTCTATATTGTACTTTACTCAAACTCAAAATCTCGAATACTCGTCCATTTTGTGTTAATAGTATAAATAAAATTGGATCCATTAAAACCGGATCCAGCCCAAGATCCGATTTTTTGTGGATACGATCGGGCGTCGGTTCTAGCTCAGATCCGGCGGATCCGGTAGTCCGATATCCGGATCCGACCATCACTAAAATAGACAGTAAACACTGATAATCAACTTTTTTGGTTCGTGCTGATTTAAGAATGAACCAGAAGTATTGAAAGCCAACAAATATAAATGTGAAAACTAAGTAACAATACTACCGTACGTCATAAAATAAACTCTATTTTATTTAATGCAGGTCAATAATAATAAACTTAACGATTGCTTTATTGATATATAGGCTTATTCTAATTGTTAGTGAAGGGTGAATTTCCTTAGGCCAACCATAAAATTAGCAGTGTCCATTAATGAGGTTAGGTCAGCAACTATCCTCTTGTTCATAATTTTATTTAGTACATTTTTTACTTTAACTTTTTTTAAGGTAAAGGATCCATTACAGAAACACATGTTGTATTTAATTTTTGAAGAAAATCATGCCGTGCTGCATCGAATTGAATCGCATCGATTCGAATCGAAATTCTTTGAATCGCATCGATGCATCGAATCGAAAAAAATATGCTGCATCGCACACCCCTACTTGTTTATGAACATATTTTGGTCAAATTTGGAAAATACATTAATTTATTACTAAACTAAAGTATTAACATTTTACAACAAAAAACACTTTTTTACCCTCCCTGTTGCAGCAAACCTAAGTACTCGTTAAACTAATTATATTTTAATAGTGAATAAATGTGATATTTTTAAGGAGACATTTTAGTGTAAATCCAATCAGGCAAATGGAAATTCACTAAGTCATCAGGTTTGCTGCGGTGCGGGTATTTTAGAATTCCTTTGGATTTTTAAACCTGGTTTAATGTTAAAATTTGTAAATAAAATAATGTTCAAAAATCCAGTGCTGCGTGATTCCGCATTTATAATACTAGCTGAGGACTGTATTTCTAGGTTCATATCTTGTTGTATAGAATGAGTAAAATTACTGGTGTTCTATTAATTTGGTAAGAAAATGTTATTATTTAGCAAAAAGAGGGGGTGAATTAACTTTGCCCCTCTTCTGGTTTGTATTCTGATTTGATTTTCTTCATTAGTCTTCTTTGAACTCTGGATTTAGATAATGCTTCTTCTTATGTTCTCCTTCTTGGTTTGTTTTACAACGTTGAGTTATGTTTGTTGATTTATCAACTCCGACCGTGTTACAAGGGTTGATTGCTGATTGTTGATTACAGATTGGTTGTTGCAGCCAGGTTGACCGTGAGTGAACACTGGACGTCGTCCACTCCCTGGGTCTCGTAGCCTCAACACCAGTCCTCGGTGCAGACTGACTTTGCAATTTGACATTACTAATCGTACTGTGTTCTTTTTAGAATAAAAATCGGCTAATGAAAAAAATTTTTAATCGATTGTTACGTAGGTAATTTGTTCCAAATTTCTTTTTAAAAGTAAAGTGTTTTACATAATGAATGTTTTATGTAAATACAAATTTGTGAGTTGTAGAGTTGTATATCGCAGATAGGTTTCAGCTGCATCTTTGGTTTACAAGGTCGTGGGGATTCCAGTAGCTACGAGACGTCGCACAGTTTTTGTGATGGCCCTTGGCATAGACTGATCGTTTTGTCTGTTTTGTATATTTTATTACTGTAATCAATTAAGAAGCAATGTGATACACCGTTTGTATAGTAGATCCAACTGCTCTCTAAGTATTGTCAATTAAAGACAGAATGTACTTAACAGCTAAGGTTGTTTTCTGTTTTACACTCTCGTTCTACCAGATCGCTTGTGGATTAGTTTACAACACCAAAGTTCGCCACGAACACTAGCAGTTATGATGCTTTCCACTGAATTTATTTTTAAGTTTGCAAAATTGTGATAAAGTTTGTTATATTTATTTTGATGTTATTGTCTATTCACACGGAGGATTGTTTGGGACTAAATGTAGCACATTTCGTCTCTAGTCTGATAACTAAGGTTTTAATATGGATTGTGTATATATTTCATCAACATAAAAGTTTAAGCGACCAATAAATTTATTCTTATACATTATAGTGAAATTAGCTGTGGATTTTAAATTAGATTTAAAGTGAATCTTTGTAGTTCAGAAAAGGATCTGAAGTCTCGTGATTTTATAACTTTTTGTACTGTTTTTTAAAATTTATTATTATTTGTAAGTAATTTTTTTAATGTTCAGAGATTTTTTCCAAAGCATTATCTTTTCTGTGGCCAACCCTAAGTTTTTAGACTTACAATTTTTACTGCGATGTTATTCTCTAGAAGTTAAATTGTATTCATTCTGTTATTTGTATTAAAATTATATGCATTAAATAAATGAAGGAATTGAAATACCTACAACATATTATCTTTTATTTGTTAAGAGGCTGTATCTTCTAAACTACAAGGGTATTTTTATATAAATATAAATATTAATTTATAATAATTTGAACAAATAATAAATAATTTTCTATATTATAATCGCATGCCATTTTAAAATCTTGTTTGTAATAATTACAAATGATGCTTATTTTCAGGTTTTTAAGCAAAATCATGTTTCTGTACCTAATTTAATTTAATTTGCATTTTATTTAGGATATTTTGTTGTTTTGAAAGTTAAGTAGACTAGCCTATATATTTATATTTAATTTTTGTTGTTTGTTTTCATTACATTTGATGCACTTTTTCTAACAATGTTCCTTCAACTGTAATATTGCATGTATATGTGTTTTTACGATATAAAAATGTCATAATTAACAATTCAATTGCTTAATTTTTTTTTTTTTTTTTCTAACCACACCAAAAAAACGCACAAGACTTGCAAGTTTCGTTAGATATAATTAAAAACAAATTAAATTTCAATAAGCATATTATTCTTTTTTTTTCAATAAATGTTATTGAGTTTTGTTTCAGGAAATTATTTAGTTTACCTTAATTGATGCAATCTAACCATGCTTCAGTGTTTCAAGATCTTTAATATTACCCCAAAACCAAATATTTAACAAATCCGTCCAGTGACTAAAAGAAATTAACCAACTTGGTCACATATAATTTTTTTATCAATTGCTAGGTAAACAAAACCAAGCGAATGAGTAAACCTTTTTTCTTTTAGCAAATTTCCCATATAGGGAATAAGCTATTTTTAACTAGGTACACTTTTTAGGACATGGTATTTTTATAATTGCTTTTAAGTTGTAAAATTTGTATTTACTATCCGTTAAAAAAAGCTTTTAAAATATTTATACTGATGTTTCAAAACAAAGAAAGAAAGAAACTTGCACACATCACAATTTGAAATGTTTTGTCCTAATTATTTGTGATAAGACCTTTGACTATGTTTTACAGTTAGACCTTTACAACTTATTTATAAATTATTTACCATGGAGTAGACATTCTACTATAATGTCCATATTTGTCTCTTCAAAAGAGTGTGGAGCTGTACTAAACAATTTTTGTTTATAAAGTAACATTTATTAATGCCAAACCAGAGGCCAAGTTGTTATTAATTGTAGCATCTTGTATGTCCTCATCAACCATGATAAAACTGGAGAAGAAAATGAAACTTCAATAGTAACACTATAGGGGAGCAAGCTGGTCTAGTTGTAGAGCATGGGACTTTGCTCCCTGGGTTCAAATGTTGCCGATCCCCCAGACCTAGTCATAAGTAATGTGAAAAACGATCCCAGACCTGAGCCTAGTTTCCTAGGACAAAAACAAAATGGAAGACTCATTCAAATACATTTTCTTGATTAGAGTATACAAATGTACTACAGCTGGTCTATATTCCGTAGAGGATGTCTACTTCAGTATTAGACAATGATACCTCTTTAAACCCTCAGTGAGAAAAAAACTTGTAAAAGGTGCATCTTAAGTTTGCAATGCTTTAGTCATTGCAACTGAATTATTCCATTATGTTGAACAAGACCCATGCATCACTTGTATATTATGTTATCTGTATAAGTATTATCAATATAACTTATAAAGTTTATATTTTTTAATGGTTTTCAAGGTTCAAACCTGTAACTGTATAGAGAAATTGCCGACCATGTATATGAAAGCTTGTTAGGCATAGTTGAATGTTATGTATGAGTTTTAAAGTGATAAAAATCCACCTTTTGTACATATTGTGTATATAATCGGTATTTTGTTGAATTTGTAGTAAAATAGTGGAGGTATAATGGTTCAGTCCCGGTTCTTTGATGGTTGCAGCATACAAGCCTATTTCTAGTTGACGACTTTTCTGTTTATGCTCATTAAATTGTGTCAATCATTGGCAGTTTTAAGTCGGGTAATAGCCATACTGTGGACTACTCGGCGTGCAAATCCGGTCGTTCTTATTTTGTATGGGTTTAGTAGATGACTAAAGGTGTATAATTTTCCCACTGGTCTTTGTACCTTTGTAAACGAACCACGGCTCTAAAAGCCACAGGATTAAAATTTACTTTTAAACATTCTAAAACCCTTTGTTGTTGCTGCAACCTCATTGGACAGTAATCCAAATTGTATATAACATTTGTGTATAGAACTTTGTACTTGGTACTTTAGGCCTAATTTCACACTGGGAATTAAAGTTTTACTCCGTACACGATAAACTTTTTATATTCAGTGTGTGAAGTACTTGTATGTTTTATAAATTCTTTCATATATTTATTGCTATTATTTTATGAGTATTTTTATACATGAAATTTGATTACTATATTTCTGATGTCTATAATGTTTAGATAATGTATCTATTTAGATTGTACGTTTAGTACTTTTGTATACAGTTAGATTTTAGTGTCTCTTGATGGGTTTTATGTGCAGCTGATTTTAATTGATAAAAAAAATTAAAGAAGTCAAATTTTACCCTGTGGCATTAATAAACATCATATAAACAGTAGAACTCTCAACTGTAATCTTACTAACTGTTTGTTCCAAAACATCCTGTGTTTAAACCCCAACTATACAATTTGTCTTTTCCGCTTGTATTAAATGTTACTATACTTCAGAAACTTTGGCTCCAGTGCAAAAATATATTCTGATATCATATATTTTTTTATTCATCATTCCCTCAGGATCAATTTTTGACATACCTTATGTCGTCAATCCTAAAACCCTTTCCCAAGACCAAATTAGGATTGACAACGCAAGGAATGTAAACGTAAACCTATTTATATTATCTATTCACTCTTACTCAATATTTATATTTTCCCTTTAATATTTGATTGTTATTATTATTTTTTGTAATTTACGGTTTATTATGTAAATATTAAACAAATATTACTGAAAATTTGAAATTAATGCAAGTTATTACAAACGATCAGCTGTCACAAACCCATCACAACAGTTATACCATTCATGGAGCCATATACCATTCTGCCCTCCACTATTACGCAATATGTGTTAACCATCTGTGTGCAATGTGCAATTGAAGCACAAAGGCCAGTGTCTCATGTGACGATTGAACGTTTTAGTTCCTAATTCAATATTGTAATTGTTTGCAATTTACGATCTAATTGGGACATTGTACTTTGCCAGGTGACATTAAAGAGGCAAGTAAATTACCACTTGGTTTTTCTTTCACCTCATTCTAAACCTGTACAAACCCCTTGATTGTGCTTTTAAGAAGTGATTATCACGATCAAAGTGATCTGAGTAACATGAGTTGCCTCAACTTTATTAGCCCAACGCTAATTGTATGACAGTGATCACAAAACCTTTACTTCTGTCTCTAAAGAACCAAAACCAAGAGGTGGGTATTTCTTATCAGTACAAAAAATACGTAGTATATTTTATTTACAAATAAATTGTTCACATCTACAAAATTGTTGGATAAAAGCAATATAATATTTATTGTCCGTAGAGTTAAAATAGAATACATAAGTATGTTTTACAAACAAATTGCCAGGTAAAAACAATTTATCTAATTCACAACACATACACAGTATGTAAAATATATGTAGTTGACTCTACATAGTAACGTATAAAATCACATTAGTATCTATAAAAACCAAATGTGTCTAACCTAAAGTATTTCTAAAACAAACAGATGTTTGTGGACTAGTTTTTTCAGACAACTTATTGACCATTGACTAATTTGCTATAGTCTTTGAAATTTCTTTACTCTTGAGTGTAGCGGCCTCGAGAGCACCAATCACTGCAGATCGGAAACCAGATTTCTCCAAGTGGTATAAAGCGGCAGCCGTTGAACCTTAGGACCAAAAATTGTTTTCAGTTAAGTCAAAGGATGGTAACAGTCACAACAAATAAATACCCTGCAGTAAACTTGTAAATTTTCACTTTCCTGATTGGATTCTCACTACAATTAATATTTTATTTGACATTCCCTATTTCAAAATAATCTATAAGTATAAAAGAGGATGTTTGTTTGTTTGGCAGTGATAAACTCAGACACCGCTGAACCGATTGCCACGAAACTTGGTACATACGTGTAGAATGTCATGGAATAGGTTTATACACCATCAATTTTGTGATCCGTCCAATCGGCTCCGCCCCAGTGGCTCTGGAGTTTCCCATGTTAACCTTATGAGAAATCGAATTAATGAATCTTAACAGCTGTTTCAATTAAACAATGGTTCTGTTCTATGATGTTCAATAGCATTAAAGTTACAAGGATTACCAACAGGGTGCAGCACTATTATTTCTTTTACATTTATGACAACAGCTAATTTGCAACCAAAAGGTGAGTGAGCGTAGCGAACGAACTTCAACCTGGAGGCGAGTTAGCGTAGCGAACGAGCTAACCTGAAGGCAAGTGAGCGTAGCGAACGAGCTAAGCTGAAGCCAAGTGAGCGCAGCGAACGAGCTCCAACCTAAAGGTGAGTGAGCATAGCGAACGAGCTCCAACCTAAAGGTAAGTGAGCGTAGCGAACAAACTTCAACCAGGACGTGATTGAGACATGCGAACGAGATCATCTTGAAAATTAAGAAGTTAAACGGGGCAAAGCCCGTGGGATTATAAATAGTCAAAGGCAAGACAACGTCTGCCGGGTTCAGCTAGTCTATATATAAAGATAGGATGGAATCGCATATTTGAATGAAAGGTCTTGACGTGAAACTTCCCCAAAAAATATCAGTTTTTCGATAAACCCTGTCCTACAGACAGGAACCTCAATTAAAGGGGTGTTATTACATTTAAAATATTAAAAATAAATCAGCTGTTAGATTTGTTTTTTTTCGTTTGTTTAATTTTACTTGACTTATCCTTTTGATTCTTCCATAGATTTCTATACTGCATCAAGGGAAGTAACAGTATGTTTTTCTTATAATTTGGGATGGTGTTCAAGCCTTAGAATTCTGTTTCAATTGTTTACTTATTATTATAAAAATATTTATAACACTAGTGTTATAAATATTTTTTAAACACTGAAACTCATGTTGAGGCAAATGTGGTGGTAAAACCCCATCTGAAGAGTATTTTGCCTTGTGACATGGACATGGATAAAACTAATTTACACCAAGATCAAGTGCCTAATAATCCAGCAGTTTGAAATAGACAAGTTAGTGAAGAACCACCATCTTGTCTGCGTTCTCTCCCCGTGGCGAGGCACGGGCAGAACAACTAGTTAGGTTAATGAGTATTTTGGTTAGCTGCTACAAGGAAGGTAACAAAGTGTATTTTTAGTGAATATTTATTGCCGTAGTATGAAATAGATACGGACCAAAACTAACTGATATCTAAAAAGTAACCTTGAAATATGCCTTGCACTTGGTTTTGTCATCAAACAGGAGTCTGATCATTAGTAGCCTAGCGGTTTGCATGTGATACGCTATAGACCCGAGACATGATTGCGCCCATCTCCACCTAACTTCTGGTACAAGGAGTATTTACGTTAGATGAGAAAATCAGTGTTTAACATCCATGTCTTGAGTGAACATAACAGAACCGCACAAATCTTTCTTCTCTTAAACTTTCCTAGCACAGGCATTGCATCTACCACCAAAACTTCTCTAGCCAACTAACTGGCGCATAAATGCACCCGCTCTGCGCTGAAAGTCACAGTTCTAGGAGAACTCTTATGATAAGAACATAGTCCGATATTTAAATCCCTGCAAACCAAATTCAGCAGTGTTATTCGGCAGCTAGGAAACTGAGCCTTTAATTTACACAGACAAACCATGTGATTCTGACAAGGCCTGAAACTCACCCGCAGGTGAGGTAACGTTGTCTTTAAGCACTCCGGGATGTTCCTTTGTTTCCAGCACCATCCTTCCAGCTCCGACCACTGTCTGGGCAGCCAGTCTGTAGGCCAGGTCCCGGGGAATACCCATGCGTACTGCCCCATCAGCCATCGCCTCTATCAGCACGTAGATCTGCAATGGATATGTCCAATGTAAAACAATGCCATCTTGGAACAACTGCAAAAATACTGGCCAATATTTTTTTAGCAATTGCTGCAACGGATCCTTAACGTTGCTCAGTGTTTTCCATTTAACGACACAGTGATCTTCTGAAGACTAATTTGACAATGGGTAAAGAGTAAGTTAATTGTTTTATTTAACCTTTTTTGCCAAAGTTGCAGGATGGTTTTATCTGCCCCTCTCCCCCAAAATGTGGCATGTCCAAGTATTCCTCCTTAAATTATAAAATCCTACAACTTATTTCAACTTTCTAAACTGTACTGGTATATGCGTATGGCAGTGTGGTGGAATTCTGTGTATTATCTAATAAATAACTCAAATATGAGTTTAAAAAACTCTTCATCAAGCACAATTGTTTTACTCGCTGTATAAAAGTTTCTATCGCTGGAAGTGTATGTTTGATTTTTTGTCTACTTTTCGGAACTAACATTTTTATTACTCAGCATTTAAGACTAGATTTATCACACTCAATGCAACATTGAGCAGCTTATGAGAGCATTATTGGCTTTAGTCATCAAATTAATCATATTTTTTTATCAGAGAATAAACTGATTTGTCATGTCCAGTTAAAATATGACGTAATGAATGATAAAAGATAGTTAATATCATAAAATATGAGTAATAATCGTAATTAAAGACCCATCTCATTAACTTATTTTTACTGTCAAAGATTTTTTAAGAATCTCTTAACATTATTACAGCTTGATACGTTTTATCACGATCCCTTATTTTGTTAATAAATACAGATCCATTCTATAACATAAAATAAAATGCTCTCTTCATTTGACACAAAAATAGTTCAATCTATGGATCACGTCCTATGGATCAACTAACTATAAATATCTGTCTAGGTGCTACTGGTTAGATAAACTAGTACAAGTATAAGGTCAAAAGTTATCTGAACAGTCAATAACTTTGATTGCGACATTCAGGAATATGCAGCCTACGAACAAGCTAATTTGATATTGAGTGAAAATTTAAAAACGTACGTTTTCATGTCCCTGGCCTTTTACTTCGTAGATACTGGATTTGTAGTTTATTATTATGTGTTTTAATATTTTTTGGGACGGGGGCAACATGTTACACACATTTATTTGGTTTTAAATATGTTCTAGGTATTTTTTTCATATTTTTAAAGTCTCGAAATTCACGACCATGACGTGTCCCTAGGGTACATTTTCCAACTTTCACGCTGTTTTTAGACTAATTATTCATGCCGAAATATATAAAGCCATATTTTTATGTCATCAATGGTTATTAAACTTACAAAAAAGGAGCATATTATAATTTTATTGTCATTGTAAACTGACTACCATGACAAAATAAGTCTGTCCCTCGATTTGGCGTCACGACCATTTGGGAAAATTTTTCAACTTTGGAGCACGAGAGTGGCAAGCCTGGCGTCGATGGAGTCAGTTGGTTTTAGAGACTAGTTCGGGGTGAACGTCAGGATTGTATTGCCGGTCGTTTCGAGTTGAAAGGAGGAATTACAAGATTAGTAAAGGAAAGATTGTGTTTTTTGTAATTTTGGTGTGTCCATGACCGTACGTAGTCATTCGACGAAGTAGACATGGTGTTAATTTTTGTTTATAAGATATTTCAATTGCTGGATTAACCTAGAAGTCCACTTTGTATCCTCGAACATGAGGTGCAGGGCTACCGCCAGAACAGTGCCAAATAACACGTAATTTCACGACCAAAGTTTCACGACCATCTCGGGTTTTTTCACGACCAATCCAGCCTTATGGATTATAGTGTGTTTGGTCGTGACAATAACTTTATTATAATTGTAAATTGAACAGTTTAGTTCAATTAAAACACATAGTCCTATTATAACTAACAGTATAATTGAAGGATTGTTTAGAAAGATTTGGATTATTCTAGACAATTCACGACCGTACCGCTTGTCCCTGACCATCACGTTTATGATTTCTATCATAAAAATTTCAAAAATTAAAATATCGTCATATTTCAATGTTTTATACACAAAAGAAGCACACCTCTATACAAACTTAACGATTTTTCGGGTCTCAGGTAAGTTTTTTCGGAGATATACAAACTTAAAAAGATTTTATTGGCTTTTTTCTATTTTTTTAGTTTTTTTATTTTTTTCTAGAAAGACCAAATATACCAAAAGCTCAGTGACCTTTTTATTGTATAATGGTCATAAAAGTAAATTAGTTTATAGCAAAACATAGTTATAAAAATAATATTAACTATTTTTAATATTCATTTAAACGTCCGCTATGGTCGTGACAGGATTTTGTGTTTCTCCACTAAAGATGCTCTTTAAAAAAAAACTACCAAAGATATTGCGTTACCATGGACATTTTATGAAACTTCAAATGTTAATGAAATAAAAAGAATAATAAAAGTTTTGAAAAAAGGAAAAAAAAATTGCTAAGTGCTTTTCCTGAAAACGTACGTTTTTAAATTTTCACTCTATTGCATCACAGTAAGTATTAACATAGATTAAACATACACAGTACTACTTTTACGGTAGGCCTATGTTTTTGCTCTGGTACTATGTGATAAAATTTAAGTTTCCTATTTTGACAAGACTGACAACTAAACAGCTGTTCATTGTTGCACATTTTTAATACACCAAACCAGTTTATAACAACACATTTAATTGAATGAATAGTTCCTCAACATGTTGAAATTGTTCAATGTTCTACAGAAATAAAACTCCCATACAAACTTTGAAATTACAGAAATATGTATGGTAAATTTAACCGTCCTACTGAGCAAAAAATTTTCAGTCGGTAAAAAGTTTGAGGAAACTGGAATCATAGATGGATTAACGCCTTTTTATCTTTGTGAATTACTATCAGCCAAGAGTATTGCTGCTATGAGTGATACTGTGAACCAAGAGCCACAATTTTATTGGTTGGTCCGTCATTTCCAGACTTTAGGCTTCAATTTAGCACATTATGAATGAAGATTAGCACACCCCTAGAAAAGTCAGCTAACCCAAGATCTGCAAACCAGATATATCATGGAAAGCGAAGGAGTTTGTTCAGAATGGTTATTATTAGGAAAGCAGCATGATGTTAAAGATGATCTTCTAAGAACATTTCTTCTTTAATAAAGCAAGTTTAAATATCTCTAGTTATCTTAATTAACACAATTTTGGAATATGGGGCGATTAGTTTACTCACATAAGCTGGTCCGGAGCCGCTTAACCCTGTGACAGCATCCAACAGATACTCCGGCACTTGCTCACAGATGCCGACAGCTTCAAACAGCTTCTTGGTGAGGACCGCATCGTCCTTGGAGGCTGCTGAGCCACACACAAACACGGACGCTCCCTGCTTGACCAGTGCTGGTGTATTGGGCATCGCACGGACCACTCGGGTCTTTGGTGGAAGTAACTGCAAAAAGATTTCAAGTGGAATTGGAAATGCTTGTATTAGATTAGATTTATCGCCGACTCACCAGTATTACCATAGACTAACCAACACAAGTAGACTTCTCATCCCATTGTAAATTTTGAAGCACGTTTTTCGTGTCTAGTTCATGTACGTGACACATGGGCGCTAGTGTCGACGAAACTTTGTTTCTATTATTTTAGGGTTAATTTCTTGATTTGTGCTTTACTGTTTGGTTATATAACTAGGGGACAGGTTATTGTTTATGATTAGATCGTATTATTTGGTTATACGAGGTTTTAAATGGCTGTAATAACGGGAAACAAATTGTAAACAAAACACGACCTCTACATAAACCGTACTGAACTAACAATAAAATTGTCTTCAGCTGTTCCATAAGGATGATAAATCTACTAAGGGAGTATGTTTTATCTATGGTATTACCTAGAGGCATAGGTGGGTAAAGGATTGAATGAAAAACATGGCAGATTTGTTACTGACTTAGATCAGCTGGCTCTTTAGCAATGACTGTTTATTAAAAACCTGATATGATTTAAGTTGGTTGATTTAAAACAATGGAAAATCTTCTGACTTTTTCTTAGGTATGAACTAGCAGCATTCTTAATATTGAGTCAAGCACTATCCAGTGTCAACTGCCATCCATCAATCACCATATGTAAGATCCAAACTTCCTCCATCTTTTGCTGGTCCAGAAAGTTACATATCAAAATTAATTAATTTGTTGTACCTATTCTTAAACAGAAATAAAGCTCCATGAAGTTGCCTATATGATTAGAGGGATAAGAAAAATATAAGTGAGCCTATGGCTCAGTCGGTAGTGCCACAGACTTCTGGCATTAGGCAGCGATTTTGTGGGTTCGGATCCTGGTACTTCAGGTTAACTTCAAATATTGCAAGCAGTATCCACCTTATTGATAACTGCCTCCCTACTTTTTCTGGTTGTTTAACTAAAGAAAAAATCTTAAATGTAACTGACCGACTCAAGCTGCTTGAGCGTGATCCCCATGGCCACTGAGATGAGCAGATTCTTGGGCGTGATGTTAGGCTTGGCCTCCGCCAGCACCATGGGAACTACGCTGGGTTTGGTAGAGATGATGATTACGTCACTTTTCTGAGCCACCTCAGGGTTGTTGTAAGTGACTGTGCTTCCCAGACTCTGCAAAACAACAACTATTAGGTTTCAATCACTTAATGTTAAATCTTTTAAACTCATTAATTCAGTGATTTAATTATACCTTTTGTCATTTTCCACCTCATATTATGAACATACAATTGTTAAAATACGTTCTTGTTGCACAAAACACAGTTAAGATGTGGTGGTTCCAATTAGCCATGTCCCACCCTGCTTTGGCCTGAATAAAAAGAGTTTAAATATGATTTAATTTGATTGTAAGTAATATAAACAAAGTCTGCAATATTGACATATTTAAAATGTAAAACTGATAAATACCTTTAGGGAGATGTAAATGGAAACTCACAATAGCCAAGTATATTTTGGAGCCATTTTGGAACTGTTAGTAGCTTAACAAATTGTTGCTCCTCTGGATTACTGGACACCAAGGGGGGGAATGAGGTAATGAGGACATGGATGGTTATGAGGAGGCAGAGAAGTTGGTGACAGGTCAAGGAGCTACTGTACTCCTTTTGTGGGCTACATCCAAGCTGAGCTGGAAGATGCCTTCTTCAAAAGGGAGCTTAAGGAGGAAGAGAAAGCAACAGGAGAAAGTTTGGAAAGATATTACAGTGTAAGCAGAGGAGTTACTCGAAGACTAAATAGAAGATCTGAGACCTTGGTTAAATTTTATAGAAATTGTTTAAGAGTGCTTAAAGGATTTCTAACTGGACACTGCAGATTTAAGAGGACTCTTCAGAAAAATGAATATTACGTCCAAGATGAATTAATTCAATCAATCAGGTGAAGAGACCCCTAAGCCAGGCCTGTGGTTAGCATATGATGCACTAAGGGCCAAGATATCATTGCACCCCTCTCCAAGTCCTTGCGCCCCCAGCAACAAACCTAAAACCTCTTGCACCCCTGCATTAAGGCGCCCCTGCCCTAAGCATATGCTGGTAGGTTGCAAGGCAGTCGGTAGCAAGAGAGCCAAAAATTTGGAGTTTTTCCAGGGAGCGATTAGGAATATTTCCCTAGAACCCTTCCAAGACTGGATTTCATCAAGGAATTAGGGCCGGAGAGGATGCTCTAAGCAGGATTGGACCCAAGTTTGGGTCACAAATAGATCTCTATGTTTCAGTGTATTCTTTCCCCATAAACATCAGTTTCAGTATCCATAATGTTTATAAACACTCTGGGGTGTTACTGTTAGGTTACTCAATAGTTTCTACCTAAAACCTAACTTCGTAAACATTTACAAAAACTTACAGAGTGTATCAGGGACAGTGAAAATGAATCACTATTAAAATGTCAAAACGAACTTAAGGCAAAAGCTAATCAAACAAAGTACCCATAAAACTATAAAATACCATGCCGGATAACTTGTTGAGTTTCAATTACTTGCTGTTTACATTCTTGGTTCCTCTTGAGAGTTAATTAATGTATATGTCAGGTTATCTTATCAGAGCTACCGTAGGACCCTTGACAGTTCGATTACCTTGAAAGCTTCAGCCAGAACAACATCGGCTGGGTGACAGCTGGCTATGATGCTCTCCCCCTTAGTCAATCCTGGAACATGTTTTAAATAAACGGTATCAGCAATTCAACACATATTTTTGTATATTTTATCAACAACCCTTATCATGGGGTGGGAGTAACTGATATTTTATGGGGAATCGCTAAAGTTTATATATATATGTTGAGCAATGGGGATAGTACTGTTTTGTTTAGAATTAAAAGGACTATAACTTTGTTATATATTAATCGAAATAGTTTGGACTCTTTTTGTGTAAATACGTAAAAAAAAAAAAAAAACACCTGGACACAAAACACAAAATTTCATAAAAATCGGCTCCAAGTATAGTCTGGAGCTCTGATGACATTTGTACAAACACAAACATACAGAAATCACATTGAAAATCACTTTTTGGGGTTCAGGGATCCAAAAACTGATATTGTAACCCAAAACTCAAACGGAAACAATACTTCTCCATATACTGAGGGGAAGAAAGTAAAAATCGTCAAAAAGAAAATCCCTAAATCGCAAGCGGCTCCTGCCCCTTCAGTGGAACGGGTGGAACTACCTCGCGACCGCGGCGACATCGTGAACATATCTCTCGAGCGTGGTGAATTGTTAATTTTACAAAATAAAAACTCTAATAAAATCGTTTGGACCTTATCTAACTTACTATACACTAGAACTACCTAAAAGTCTACCCAAAGTTGTATGCCATATAGCACGAATATTATAAAAGGGACGGTAAACAAATGGCATCACTAGCCCGAAGGCGAAATCAAACATCTATTCTATATATAATTCAGTTTTAAAAATCTTTGTACAACTAAATCTAGAGTTCTACTGGACCGATTTTATTAATTAATGGGTCGTTGGAAAGCTTAGGTCGTGTAGATTTGTAAATAATTATGAAATTTTGTTTTTATTATGATTTATGGTGAAAAATTTCAAAAAAACCTGTTTTCCATAAGAAATACATTGAAAACGGTGTTTTTCACTCTTTTTATTTGGGTGCGACTTTTAGCTGCCTTTTTTTAGTGTTTCCTAGAAGTGTATGGTATCAATTTGTAGGAAATTTTATTCTCTTTCAGAATATCACCTTCCACTTTGGTCTATTTCCTCACCATTTAAAAGTTATTTGCAAAAAAGCTAAGCAACCTCCGAATTTATAATAATGAGAAAATATTGAGTTTGGGATATTTTTGTTAAACTTTGTACAACTAAATCTAGACTTCTACAGGACCGATTTTGATAATTAATGAGTCATTGGAAAGCCTTACTCATGTAGATTTGCAAATAATTATGAAAGTTTGATTTTATTTAATATTTGTGGTAGAAAAATAAAAATAACAAAAATACATTAAAAACTTTTTTTCAGGTTTTTATTTTCAAGTTTATATTTGTAGTCAGCTTTTGGCTGCCTTTATTAAATAATGTCAAGAAATACACACAAGGTATTTGTAGGAAATTTTATCTTCTTTCAGAATATTACGTGCATTTTCTACGATTTACTCACCATTTAAAAGTTACCGGTATTGTCAAATTAGATAAGTGACCTCCAAATTTTTAGTTGTTAAAAATACTGAATTAGGGATATTTTTGTTAAACTTTGTACAACTAAATCTAGACTTCTACTGGACCGATTTTGTTAACTAATGTATCGTTTGAAAGCCTAATTTGTGTAGATTTGCAAATAATTATGAAAGTTTGATTTTATTAAATATTTGTGGTGAATAAAGAATAAAAAGCAAAAATACACTAAAAACTAATTTTTTTTATAGTTAATATTTTAAAATTTCAATTTATAGTTAACTTTAGGTTGCCTTTTTTGAATATTTTCAAAAAACGCCAAAGAGCACTTTGTAGCAAATTTTATTCTCTTTCAGAATATCACCTTCCACTTTGGTCAATTTCCTCACCGTTTAAGAGTTATTTGCAAAAAAGCTTAGCAACCTCCTAATTTATTGTGGTGAGAGAATATTGAATTGGAGAGATTTTTGTTAACTTTCTACAACTAAATCTACAGTTCTACTGGACCGATTTTATTAATTAATAGGTCAATAAAGTCTGTGTAGATTTCCAAATAATTAGTAAAGTTTGAGTTTTATTTATTTATGGTAGTAATACGTTTGCCGGTATGAATAATCTAAAAAATATTATGGTAGTAATAATGGGTTAGCCAGTATGCATCATCTGATCATATGGAACACATGTATTAACCTATAGTTTAACAGCTGATTGTTTTATTGTTATTTGCTTGATTTTTCTTGGTTTACATTTAGTTGTTCACTATTTGAATTGGTGGTTGAGGTCCGTAAAGTGTGTTTCTAAAGTGATGTTTTTAATCTGTACCATTAATAAGTATTGGTAAGTTAAGTGATGTATGGATTTCATAACCAAAAATTATTATTTTAAACTGTCAATTATAAATTATTCAAATTTAATTTATAATTTACAGTTTAAAATAGTATTTAATATTCGTTATTTTGAAATGTTAATTATAAACTCAATATTTTACATTAGTTTAAAAATTAACAACTTTACTCTTCACTACATGGTTGGTGATGGAAACTGTTTCTTTAGAAGTGTCTCATTTTTATGCCATAAATCTCAATCCAGATACAGTGATATACGATCCACGGTAGTTGATGAAGTCGTCAATAACTGGGACTACAGTCCAACCTCAGTATAACGAATCTGAAGGGACCGAACCGAATATTCGTTATATCAAGGATTTCGTTAAAATGAGGTTCGTTATATAGAGGTTAGGTTTGCAGGAATTTCGCTAAGTCGAGGTTCAGAACCAGCATCAGTCTATATAGGTCGGGATTGGACCTGATTAAAACACAATTAAAGTAGTCTAGGCTACAATACTTTACAGTGTACAGTCTTTACATTGTAAAGTAGAACCTCGATTATCCGGGATACTAAAGGGAAGGGATTTTTAATATTGCGCAATCATGACATTTATAGTCATTGACCTTGGTACAGGGGTTATAGTAGTACGTTTTCTGTGGTACAGGTTACAAACTGTAAGTTTAAAATCACAGCTTACTGCTTGCTCCAACCCACCTAAAACCTAGCCAAACACTGTATTGCATAGTAATAAACCACGTAAAGAACAAAACAAAACATTAGAGAGTTTTGTAAGCTACTGCTCGCGATAGGCCGGTGGTAGGCTACAGTCTACAGTACTGCTTTAAATCACAATGGAGGAATGTACTGTAATAATCATGAACTTAGTACAAACCATATTGAAAATAATGAAAATATTAGATAGGAAGTCGTTATAAAAGTGTATAATCATAGCAAACTTAAAGATAATAAAACACTCGTTAATGGAATGTTAAGATAACGATGTTGCTATTCTTTTTCTTTGCCTTGATCTTCTATTATTTTTCTTTCTAAGGTTTCTCTTCATCCAAAAATTGTACAATTCACCACATTTACTTATCACCCAATCACAGCTTACTACACATTACGTCGTCATCAGTCCTCAGTGAATGAAATCAGTTCTCTTAGTTGTAAACATAGAACATAGTGCGCAACGACGACAGCAGACAGGGATGTGTAAAACGGAGCAGACGAATATTAGCGCAAGCGTTGACGTCACCTTTCCATTTCATTTGATGAAGAAAGAAACAGAGTTTTCAAAAGCAATAATGGTGGTGGGGGGTTCGTTGTATCGAGGTAAAGACGCAGACAATTCGTTAAGTAGAGGTTAAATTTGCTATGTAGAGGTTCTGACAATGATAAATTCGTTCTATTGAGGTGTCTTATTTTAGCCAGGAACATGAAAAATTTGTTAAATCAAGGTCGTTGATATGGATTGTTCGTTATGTAGAGGTAAAATATACATTGTGTCTTACGGAGAGTTCTAGGGGATTTAAAAAAGTTTGTTATATCAAGGAATTCGTTATATCGAGGTTCGTTATATTAAGGTTAGACTGTACTATTGTCCTTTGATCGTAGGGGATAAGACATATAGACTAGAAGTAAAAAACGCGACGGAATACAGAAATTTGTTGACCAAAGATGGGGAATACGCCGGTAATGTCGAAATTGAAGCTGCAGAAAGAGTTTTTGACTGCCAATTCAAAATATATGCTGAGAAATTGGATTATTTTGTAACGGTTGGTGAAGGCACAACGATCTATAAACTACGATTCTCAGGAAATGTGGATGCTGGGCATCAAGAGGACATAATCTTACCAAAATCAAAACGTGGCCGTGCATCAAAAATATATAAAAAGTAAAACATGTTCTGGCAGACGTGAATCAACAGCTCATAAAAATAAATTGAAGAAACCAAATTATAGTACCGGTATAGATAAAGATTTACTCCAAGGGGTAAAAAAGTGTTTATCAAGCAATCAAAAGGATGGAGAACCAGAAAATGAAAAAGAAACAGAACAAGATAGTCTGACCAACACTTCACTCAGAGATGATGCAACTTCCTCAACCTCCTTAATTTGTGTATTGGGAATGCCAATACACAAATTAAATTTAAAAATTGGAGCTGTAATAATGTTGCTACGAAATCTTAACACAAAACGGGGGTTATGTAATGGCACACGATTAATTGTTAAAGAACTCAAGCCCAATTAAATAATAGCAGAGGTTTTAACTGGATCAGCGGCACGTGAAATTGTATTCATTCCAAGGATTGACTTAGCACAGACGGATACAGATTTACCATTTGTTTTAAAAAGACGGCAATTTCCTTTAAAATTAGCGTTTGCTATTTCAATAAACATAGCGCAAGGCCAGACATTGGATAAAGTTGGGATATACCTTCCAGCAACAGTATTCAGCCATGGACAATTAATTGTATGTTGCAATATCAAGGGCTAAACGGTTTGAAGACATAAAAACTAAAATTATCCCTGGCAAAGAACAAGGAAGATTATTAAAACCATCAGATGAAGTCTTTACAAAGAATGTTGTTTACAAAGAAATACTCTAAATAAAATATTTTTGGAAAATTTTATTTGTTTTTCATTATTTTACTCTTTTAGAAAATCAGTTTATTTTCTAAACAATTTCATTCTTT